AGGACCCGTAGATATTACAACGTGAATGTCATCACTCGTTTTGAAACTACAATCGGCTGTCCCACTCTTGAAACTGGAACGCAGAACTAGCTTCGAGCTAAAAATAGACAGGAATTTGCTATTTCTGTAAACCCTTATTTTTAAGAGGCAAATAATTATTAATGCTTAATATGATTCTTACTTTAAAGGCCTTTTAAAAATGGAATAACAAGAAAAAAATACTTAATTCTTTAAACAGTACAGGTGGGGCTGTAAGCTCGTCCAACCATTTAGCAATAAAAAGAAAACCTTTGGCTAAAGCTATGAAACTGATTTTTCTTGCGAATTCCTCAATAAATTTTGTTTATTTATACTGATTTTATTTTAGACCCTTTGAATATATGCCCTTTAATTACATAGGTACCAACGGTTTCTGTATTCGCGGCATATTTCCGGAACAAATGCCCCACAAAAAAATAGTTTTTGCCATAATTAAAAATATAAAATCTATATATTTAAAATGAATTGCTATTCGTTAGTGTCGCTAAAACTCGAGAACGGCTGGATCGATTTGGCTAATTTTGGTCTTGAATTTTTTGTGAAAGTCCAGAGAAGGTTTAAAAGGTATATATATATGAAAATGCTTGGAATTAAATAAAAATAACAATTTTGTTTTTCCTTTCATGTGTCCCCCGTCGGAGGGATTCCTTTTGTTTGTTTTAAGTTTATTTTATACAAAAGTTTAGGTCTTTTATCTATCGATTGAGGCACTACGAAGTCTGCCGGGTTCAGCTAGTATAAAATAAAAATACATTCTTCTTTTAATTCTTTTAAAGGGTAACAATATAGTAACAATGGTGGCCTAGTAAGCAATAATAAAACCGTGTAGTATCAATGAATTATCCCGTTAAAAGGAATAATTTTGCCCGGCGTATCTATATGAAGCGACTATGTCCTATGACCCGCAGATAGGTTTTTCCTAAGGATAAGTTATGCACTTAACAGGTGTTCACAAATGATTTCCACGATGAAGAAATAGCATCGTGTAGTAAAAATAAAACCTGACAAATTTTCTCTATTGCTGGTGATAGGACATATTGTGGGCCCGCACGCAAGTATCATGTTTATTTTTTGCCGCAAAGCGTGCGTCTGGTTTAACGACCCGTCTAATTTAAAAATGTTATGTAGGTGATGAGTCACCACTGATGGAAAACATAATAAAGCTACCTAAAAAAGATATTATCAATCGCATAAATCAATAAAAGTCACTATTTATTTCAATAGTTCAAAAAAATCTTATCGCATTAAAAAAGATTACTCCATCAAATGTTTCAAAGCGTATCACTTCATTGGTTTGTGATATTCAGCCACTTATCAGATGTAGAAACGTTTTTTTTTTATTCCTTTGTTTATTTCCGCATGCGGGTTGATGACCTATCAACTTTGCAGGATTGATTGAATAGTATAATATCTAATTCACTATCAAGTCTTTCAAATGAGTCGACTATTATCAAAGGCGGCAATCTGACTTTTGGACAATGATTGGTAAATCAGAAAAACGAATTATTGACTTTGTATTCCATTGGCAGTCACAAAACTCTTCGGAACGACATCTTAGATAAATAACAGGTTAACTATTAACCTTTATTTAATGCAGGTTTTGAACCGTATTCTTTGAAGGAGACGATTATATTCAAATAAATCTGTATTGACATATCAATAATTTTTTTTTGTCCAAATGTACAGATTGCCGCCTTTGATAATAGACGAGACTCAAATATCGTATAGGAATAACACAACCTAAGTATCTCTTGACTCTTAGAGACACGCGATTCGCACGTTGATATGTATGATAGGAATATTCTAGAATTCAGCATTGACAGGTGTTATAATTTCAATCGGATATTTGACGCCTCAGATGCATTGAGCACGAATTAACAAACAAAACGCTTTTCAATGGTAGCTGTAATTTTTTTGTAAACTGGTAAGGATACATGTTCCATGACACGATACATGTGTGTGATAATATTGTTTCGTCAATAATGATTATATATTTTTATTACAAACTAGCGGCCCGCTCTGGCTCCGCTCGGGTCTTTAACAAAATTTTCAACTATATTTGACGTTGTTTTATTTTTTAAAATAAAGGAACATTTATTGCAGCATAACTATAATAGTTAGACATATGCTGTCGCGACACTTTTCGTAAATAGTAATGTGTTCTACAAAGTCGTAGTACATTATTTTATTCCATCATCAATAGTTTTCGCAGGACACGCGATGTAAAGAATATTTTAGGTAATTTTTTTACACCTTGGGTTACATTATTGTAGTTTTAGTAAGGATCCCTAATTTTTTTCAAAAAAGATTACATCCTATGTCACTCGGGAATATGTAGCTTCCAAACAGTGAAAGAATTTTTCAAATCGGTTCAGTAGTTTCGGAGCTTATTCAATACAAACAAACAAACAAACCTTTCCTCTTTATAATATTAATATAGATAAATTCTACAAAAAATTAAATTAATTATGATTAGATTTTCATTTTTATAGAATTTATTTAATTTTATGCATAATACAATTGAGGCTTCGATCGCATAACATAAGGTGGACGGGAGCATTCACGTTGTGATGCCTATGGAATAGTAGCCGTCTGTTAGAGAAGAATAATTGAAAAAATAAATTTCATAAGGACAATTTTGAAGTCGTCGTAGCCTAAAGGATAAGACGTCCGGTGCATTCGTATGTAGCGATGCACCGGTGTTCGAATCCCGCAGGCGAGTACCAATTTTTCTGGTTAAATACGTACTTAACAAATGTTCACGATTGACTTCCACGGTGAAGGAATAACATCGTGTAATAAAAATCAAACCCGCAAAATTATAATTTGCGTAATTACTTGTGGTAGGTACCGCCAACTTTCCTATTTCTGCCGTGGAGCAGTAACGCGTTTCGGTTCGAAGGGTGGGGCAGCCGCTGTAACTATACTTGAGACCTTAGAACTTATATCATAAGGTGGGTGACGCATTTACGTCGTAGATGTCTATGGGCTCCAGTAACCGCTTAACACCAGGTGGGCTGTCAGCTCGTCCACCCATATAAGCAATAACTAAAATAAAAAAATAAAAATTAGGTGTAGTTGTTCCCAAGCGATGTGCCGTCGTGTTTGCGGTTGATTGACATGATAGATTTATACATATCTGATGATTGTTAAAACTTTACGCATTACAGTACTAATATTAAATTTATCCAACAAGAAGTTAACACAATGACTAAATTGAATTATTTAGGTAGTATTTATTAATATTTTGACGTTTATGTAGATAAAAACGTATAGGCTTGAAGGGTGGGGCAGCCGTTGTAGCTATACTGAGATCTAAGAACTTATATATCAAGGTTGGTGGCGCATTTACGTTGTAGGTGTCTATGGGCTCCAGTAACCACTTAACACCAGATGGGCTGTGAGCTCGTCCACCCATCTAAGCAATAAAAAATAAAAAAAGATCGTTACACCTTCACATAGAGGTTTGTAGGTAGGTAGTTTCTGAATCAGAAGTTCTAAATGGACTCATCGGAGCCGATAGACATCAACAACGGAAATGGCACAGCCCGCCTTGAGACGAGTTCTAAGTCTCAGTTTTACCATCAGCAATTACGTAAATTATGATTTTACAGGTTTAATTTCTATTACATGATGCTATTTCTTCATTGTAGATGTCATTCGTGACCATGTGTTCAGTACCTATGTATGTATTTCATTAGAAAAACTTGTACCTGCCTCCGGGATTCGCGTCTCAAGCAGTCGCATCGCTTGATACAAATGCACCGGGCACCTTATCTTTAAAACCACGAGGACAGATTTCTAATGTGAATTTGTTTATTAATGCTATTGAAATATTTGATTCTAACGCTTACGCAAAGGGTTCTTCCGCTTAAGATACCAGAAAACTAATAGTCGAGTTATAAGTAGAAGTTTATATTGAAAATCACGAGCCACGTATCGACACCGTTAATCTTCGGCAAAGATGTGTTTTTTAAACAGTACAAAATACGATAGACATACTAGCGTTCTCACAAATAGATATATTCTTACATGTAAGTAACAGATTTATATTTTTAATACTAATGCGTGACGTCGCTACCACATAGGAATTATACAATGTACTTGTACCATAGTTGTATCAAGACAAAATTAAAGGACAAAACAAAGTATTAAACTATATAACAAAACCAAAGTAAATACGGACCTCGCTTATGTTTACGAAAGACTACAACAATGAAAGATTAGAACGTCGCGGCGTTGGGGCATATATTGTGATTTCAAACCGAAAGATGTTATCGTCAAGTCAATTTTTGCTGCAAAGCTATGATTCAAATGGCATAAATAAGGTCTTCGATTTTGTGTCTCGTAGTTATAAAACCACATTTCAATCCAATCATCATAATGAACAACAACATATCACGCCATTGAACAATAATGAATAAATGATACTATTTTTTTCCTTGAACTCACGATGAGCCCCGTGAATTAACCGACCACTCATAGTGAAGCCAGAATAGTCCCTCAAGGCTACTGGTAGATAAATATGAAAAAAAACCTTATCCTCAACATATATATAGTCGAAAAACTGAAACAGAAGAATATGACGTAGGTAATAATTTGACGTATGTAATTATAAATATGTATAATAAAATTTTGTTTCGAAACACATATCAATGTAACGCACCCAAGCCGAAATTTAGGGTGGTTCAAATTAATTACTAAATAATGGTAATTAACATCATTCTGATTTTGTTTTGCAAGAACTAAACGACTGACTTAGGTAACGAATGAATTTCAATTGCATGAAGACACAAAGGAATAAAAAATGGCGTTTTATTCTGAAATTGCTCAGAACGGTACAGTCCCATCATACGGCATCGCGAAGGCCAATGTATGTAAATCTCCGCTGCTCGGAGTGCCAATCATAACGACAGCCTAATGAGTGACGTTAGACCTGATAAACATATTTATATCGGAACAACGCGCAGATCTCCAGATAACGTATCACCGTGCCTTATATGTATTTGTATGAAATATGTCTCCGCTTTTATAACACTCCATACGTTTCCATGATGCGAATCTGTTAAGTACAATATGTGACACTGTTCGAAAATAAGTTTTGAAATCGTAAAATGCAAAAGTGGATCACGTTCGCTTGTTTTTTTGTGTTCGCCTGCGCCGAGTCTGTCAGTGACTATGAAGGTATTTTATGTGCTAAAAACTATTCACACTATCTTTCTATCTCGTGATCTTATATGTTTTTTAATCCATTCCCATTAGTCTACGGTCTATCTCCGTTACTATTAGTTATTCACGACACAGTTAGTTTTACTACTAACAAACATCAAATAAAAATAGAATGTATTATTTTCGGACAATTTCGTCAGCATCGTGCACATTTGTGACTTAAAATGAATGGTCCTTTTTAGAAGTTTTTGTTTTTCTGTCATCCACAATGAACCAGTCCAACATCAGGAAAATAGTTACACCTAAGCTGCTAAATCCTTTAAAAAGCAAGGTGTTATGGGTGCATCTAGGTTTTTAATATATCACTATTAAACACTCATTATTAGATTAGTAATTCTATGTTTTTTTGCGGTATTCAAACAACATAAATAGTACCCACATGAAGTGGTTTCATAACATTGTTAATAATTGAAAATTTTTGAGATAAAAATCCTACAGTAAATAAGTGTTTTGAATTCAGCGGAGTCGATTTAATGAGTTCAGTTAATCAAGTCCCAGTTGTACCTAACACCTATCTATTATCTCCATCATTTTGTATTATGGTTGAATTGCAATCGGGAGCAAGTTAAGATCAAACGGCAAATTGTGCGTGGAATTCTGGCTTCATAATTGAATGGACTCCCATCAACAAAAAACTACGCTATATGTCCACATTCCCAAAGATTGGCTACCAACATGTCTAGTCGTCCAGCAAGTTCGGGAATGTTCGGATATGTCGAACCATTGACGCCGTAATAAATAAATAATAATTATAAAATACATCGTTCATAAAATATTTATAACTACTTATACCATAAATATTTATAACTACTTATACCATGCACTCGACGCTTTTTTACAATAAAATCATTTTTTCTTACACTATTTTTAATTCAAATTTATTTTCTATTTTTCGTTGGATTTTCTTTAAAAGCGTGTTTTGTTAGTTTTTTTAACTATTATTTATATTTCATTTTTTAGTTGAATTTCAATTGTTATAATTTTTTTTTAAATATTGTATTGTCATCGGTCCTTAATAGTACCTATACCAAATTTCGAGCTAATCCGACGTTTTGAAGGGGGTCAAAATCATGTTCAAAGATTCCGTTACAAACAAACGTACATACATACATACATACGTCTGAAGCTAATAAAAGCGTATTAAAAATGCACTTATTCGTAAATTTTACCACGGCGCATTTATGCAAGGTATGTTACATATTCTAAATCCGCTATATCTCATTGAATGAAGCTCTAATAATCATTGTAATGATGAAGAGATGTTGTAATAGTCCGGACGGGAAACGATTAAGGCAATTTCATTAGGTTTAACGTTTGTAGATGCAAAATAAAGAGGTTTATTCATTTTTATTTACTTAATTCATACTTTTTGTGCATGTAATTAAAATAAGTTCAAAAGTATGTACAATAGATGAAATTACCTCGTACATAAGTTTTCTTATCGAAAGCAAAATAAATCGGTGAAAACTATTTTATGGAAAATAGTGTACAATAGTAAGTATGTATCAACAATGAGAACAATCGCCTGTAGCGAATCATTCTAATCAGTTAAATTATTTTATAGGTGATGGAAGTGTATAATAGTAAGTAAACAACAGTTGCTTGCAGCGAATCATAACCGCTTTGTTCTATCTGTCACAGTGTTAAAAGTAAGAGAGACTTTACAACACTTTTTCATAATCTCATTAAATCTATGAACAAATATTGTCCGACCGTTTTTACTACTTTGTTGTGATGGCAGCAGTTGCGACCTACAGAATGGATAGGGCAGCCTTTCCCAAAGTGGGCGATAACGCCCCCTTGTGGGCGCTGCAGGCCTAAAGGGGGGGTCGGTAAGAGACCCAGAAAAAAATGGGGGCGTTGTGTAGAAGGCTTAGAAGGCGATTTGTAATTTCATCTTGGAGGACACCGACTGAGCTCTCGCTATAATGGTTTTAAGTGGGTGAAAAAATGGGGGCGGTAAAAAATAAATTATTCTCAAAGTGGCCAGTAGACAAAATAAGTCTGGGAGCCCCTGGGATATAATAAGATTTAACAAACTTCTAATGCAAATCTCTAGTTACATAGTGTTGCTTCCCAACTAATTTATTATCCTCAACGCAATTATTATCACATACGTATCACTCAATCTTGGAAGCCTGAAAAATATCAGAAGCAAGATAGCCTGCATGTGTTGCCATAGAAGCTTCTAAAACGGGTTAACAAACTATATCTCTTAATTAATATTGATCAATCTAGCAACGGATTACTTATTTAATTATTACGTAGATACGAGGTATCTATTAAGGAAGCATTACCTAATTAAAGACATAAGTACATATGTACGACTGCGGCACTAATAAAATTGTTTTCGAAACAGGCTAATATTCAAATCCGATGACGTTTTGTTTGTCTGGCGATACATTTATATTATCTTACCAAAATACGATAAGCTATAATTTTAGAGGATCACTATCGAATCTTGGTATATCTACCAAAATAATTCACTGTATTATTATTTTGTTCGCGAATATCAGCTGACATGGTCTGATTTATCACACAACCAAGTCAACGCCCACTATGTTACGTGTGGAACGTATATAGCTTGCAATGCAATAAAGGTTACTTTTGTAACCTAAAAATAAAACTGAAACACAAGATTGCTTTGCGGCAGTGATCGGCAGTTCGGTAAGGCCAACCCGGGATCTAAATAAAACACGCCCAGCCACTAGTTCGCCTAAGATATAAATTCCCTTCGAATCATGACTGAAACCAAACAGAATATTACAATAACCGGATAATAGAACTCGAAGACCTCTATGGGTTCGGCCTGGGTGGGGCTGGGTTTAAGTTAAGATTATGTCTTTAAAAAAATTCAGTTAAGTATTTTGGATCATAGCGACATTTGTTAAGAAATAAAAGAAACCACGACTATACTAACAACAACTTGAATTCGGATCGATTTAATAATAAAAATCCCGCTTGATGAAATATAAATCTATTAAGAAACGGAAATTCTAGGTATTCTGCAATTGTTTCTTGTCTCTACTAAAGGTTATTTCAAAGGCACTTTAATTTTCAAGGATATGAATATTATAAGAAACAAAGGAATAAATACCATTTGTTTTATTACTTAACTAAACATAGTAACAAATCCTTAAATTCCGACATTTGTGTTCGTCATTTATTCCGTCACTTGACAAACAGAGACTTGGTTCAACGGCAAGATAAAACTTTCGCAACCAATCAGCCTTACTGTGATGAACGACAAATTACAGATGCTTTAAAACAAAATAACACGTATACGATACATCAATTAACAAGACAATAATCACTATTGAAATACTTCACGTGTAAAAACGGGCAGGAGTAATGAATGCTGCCTACTTGTTGCATTCATTCGTAGAAACCAAAAAAACTGTTTAATACGCAAAATCTTCGTTGCGTTGACAACAATATAAAAATATGTATGCACTGCCTCGATCGATAATTTACGCACTTTTACGCCTATCAGTTAAATGAGTCGATGCTGTTTTTAGAGATACCGTATATCTAACATATCGGGCCACTCCCACTAAATGCTAAATACCAAAGTATTAAATAATTGTTCATAAGTTCATGAAATCGAAGTATGAATGAGAACTTGTTATTTACAAGATTTTTTATATTTACATATTTTAGTAGTGGGTTTTATTAGTTGACATTGATAAGAAAAAGACCCACCCGGTATTAAATATGAAGACAATGATAACGACAACCCACTTCAACAAAAATAGTGCAAAATTTGCGTAATCATGAACAGTTTGCGAATACGGATATTTTATTAAGTTGTTTAAATATTTTCCATGTGTGATGAAAAATGTAATGTATATATTGTATTTATTTATTTATTACGTATATGGATGAACGAACTCGCGCTCCACCTGATGTGAAGGGGCTATAGAAGTACAAAGATGCAATATGAATAACGCGCTCGAGATATGAGACCAAAGTCTCAATTGTATCGTATTATACAATTATGTCCCACCTTTCAAACTGGAATGCAAGACTGTATCGCGGCAGATATCGCCAGGGTGGTCGTATCTACCCGAATGTTCTTACAATATGCACTACCTCAGTAAACGCCAACTAACGATCGCAATTTGCAGGTATAATACTCTACTGCCCATTCTCCGATGAATCTTTTTGTAGCATCAACGGACAGAGATGAGGTGGTGCTAAGCCACACCGCACAGCCTGAACTTTTTTTACGTAATCTGTTTGTTCATTTTCATGTATGGTACATCCAATATTCAAAGAATCTAATTGCAATACTCAAAAAAACGAAACAGAAATTACTATTCTTCAAACGAATATTTTTTTGGTAAACAGCATTACGCCTAATGTGGACTCACTGAAAAATTTATTTTATTCCTGCTTTTGCACCGTTGTGAATTGAAACTAGATGAAACGGAGATAACACTGGAATTGTGGCTTTCAATAAAGAAAGACAAACATAAACTACTAGCTGTACCCGTCCGCATCGCTGGACATTTAAAATCAACATTATTATTTCTCACCCCCACAAAGATTCTCATCACTAACGCCCCCGCAACTGGTGTAGGGAGTCCAACACTCATATAAATATTATCCTATCCATTAAGTACATGTATTTTCTACGTGGATACCAAGTTTCAAGTCAATCGGATGCATGATTCAGTAGTTATAACGGAAAATCCGTAAAACCACTGTAGATTTATATATTAGTATAGATGATACGATTTAGCTAGCGAGTGAATGAGATAGAAGTGGATAGGGGATAAAGTGTGAAATACACCCATGTTTCTTTATTCACTCCTTGCTTAGTATAATACTTATTTAATTCAAAACTTCTTTTCAGAACAGTGTTTCGCTATAAATTGCATAGGAGTGGAATATGAATGTATAAAAGGGAAATGTTACTGCGCCGATGGATTCGTACCAAACCAGTTCCATGATCGTTGTGTGCCATGTCCAGGTAATTGTTTAGTTTTTCAGACGTTTTTTGACGTGACAACGTCTTATAATTCGATGGAGCCGGCTGCACGCACGAAAAAACATGACTCATGCGGCGTTACCTCGCTCTGAGGCGTATTTTCTTATGACGTTGTCACGTTCAACTATCGTCAGTAAACCGACTTTACAGACAACCGATATTTTTTTTCTGGCGCTAGTACGCAGTATGCGTTTGCTTTGTGCAAATAAGTTATTGACTTTTCCCTAGTTAGTTGTTGGTAGCCTAAGGGGCTATTCCAACTTCGCGTGGACCGGTAGGTGAGCTCACAGGCTCAACCTGAGAGACTTTGTAACACTGGCCCTAGCAAAAGCAGTGCCACTGAGAAGACCCGTCGAGAAACTCAGTGTGTTGATTGTTGACGAAATGCTCTTAAACTCTACACCGATTTATTCTAGCAAAGCAAAACGTATTACCTTAGCACAAAGATAGTTTTATTGTGTTGTTTTTTTATAGATGTTCTATTGCGTAGACAGTGAGCGAGTTTATTGCCCACCTAGTATTTAATGGTTACCGGAGCACATAGACATCACAACGTGAACGCCGCGGGATCCATATTTACCTGCAGGATACGGTCGATATGGTTACGCCGGCCATCTTACCCTTAAGGCCATGACCACCACATAATTACTCTGGGGTAAAAGCTCTTTATCCGAAAGATATACGTTCCGTGAATATGCCTCGAATACAGAAACCGTGAATATGGAAAAGCGCGTTTACAAATGATATTAGGTTGGATATCTACATATTAGAATCCTTTTGAAGTGAAAACTTCTTTAGAATCGTTGTGATTTCAAACCGGATGCAACGGAAAAAACGACAGGTAAGAGACACAAATACAAAAATGTGTAGGATGAAGCCAGCAAAGAATGAGACAGAAATATACATACTATTTAATACAGCGCCATCTGTGAGATTTTTTAATACTAACGTGTGTATGAAAGCTCTTGTAGTGAATTTNAAAACTTCTTTAGAATCGTTGTGATTTCAAACCGGATGCAACGGAAAAAACGACAGGTAAGAGACACAAATACAAAAATGTGTAGGATGAAGCCAGCAAAGAATGAGACAGAAATATACATACTATTTAATACAGCGCCATCTGTGAGATTTTTTAATACTAACGTGTGTATGAAAGCTCTTGTAGTGAATTTTAATTTAACGTCCTTACGGATCCATCAGATCCAATAACCTTTGCATTAGATGCCTTCAGCTCTAATACTAGGGGCAGGCTTAGGGACCCCGGTAACCGTACTCGTCGAACTCGACAAAGAGGTCGACGTGCAACCTAACCCATGCATCAGCCCGCTGAGTTTCTCGCCGGATCTTCTCAGCGGGTCGCGATTCCGATCCGGTAGTNTCAGCCCGCTGAGTTTCTCGCCGGATCTTCTCAGCGGGTCGCGATTCCGATCCGGTAGTAGATTCATTCGCGAAACAATTGCTCTTGAGCTGTTAGGTCTCCTTCGGAGGCGCTCGGGCAGTTGTTAGCAAATCCCACCCCTCTTGGCTGAGCCTTTGCTCGCCCACCTGTCCTGGTGAAACTGGAAAGGCCTTCGGGCCACCAGTAAAATTAATTTAGGATTATACGTGAAATTAAAATATCAATTCACAGAGGGCGCTACCTTACAATTATTTACTAATGACAAAATTTTACATATACTTAAGACGTTTAGGATAATTGTATTTTAATTTTGGAAGGTTTCACTTCTACCACATGTGAATTGCACACATGTTTATTTATCATAGTGTATGTACCGATGTACCGATTAGATTCGCGAATAAAGAAATCTTTAATCGCCAACATAGAAATTGGATCGGATTTAATCCGCGAATAGTGAAAACACGAATAAAGAGCTTTTACTGTACTACAAACCATATTTTTAAATTTTACACTTTATTTCAGGACTAGGAGAAAAATGCTTCGGCCCCTGTTGTAATAGATACGGAAATGGCACACTTCAATGTTGGCAAGGAAAATGTCAACAATGCTATGATTCTTATGGGAATTTTGTTTGTAGGTGAGCCGTATTTAGGATTTTAAGATTACCATTGACGACCCACGTCCTAATAGATCCACCAGGTGCACTCACATAGATTTTGGTAGCTAATAGTGGAAGCATCCAGTCACCCGTACTCTTCAAAGAGTTCGACGTGAAAGCTAACCTCTGGCATTAGCCCACTAAGATTCCTGCCAAAAATCTTCTCAGTGGTCCGCGATTCTGATCCGTTAGTAGATTCATTCACAAAGCAGCTGCTCTCGAGTTGTTCGATTTTCTTCAAAGGCGCTCAGGCAGCTGTTAGCAAATTCCTCCTCTCCTGACTGAGCCCGTTCTCGCCCGTCTGTCCTGGTGAAGCTGGAAAGGCCTCTGGAAACCCAGGAGGGTTACCTCCATTCCGGAGTAAAATAAATTCATTTTCTCGACGTGCTTGTAATTTTATTGGGATTGACTAACCATTCTATTATGTTTTAAGAGACGGCATTGACCAAATTCTGCTGATTTCAACGACGCAAATAGTTATGGGATCTGCATTAATTCTCGGAATCATAGCTACATTCATACTGCTTTACAAATTATGTGCGGCGACTACCATCGGGTAAAAATCACTGGATTTTACTTTTATATCTATCTATACTTTACATTAAGATTATTAAAAAAACAAATACAGTCGGATTGAGAACCTCCTCTTTTTTTTGAAGTCGGTTAAAAAGCCTTATATAATACTAAACTTATCTCTATTATTATTACTTATATTAAACCTGTCAATACTATTCATATCAATATAATTTTAATACAGGTCAAATATTTCACTCAAGTTATTCGATCAAACCAAATTGCTTTAAATCAAGTTTGAACCGGACTTCCATAACATAGAGGACAAGACAGAAACAACAGACTATCGAAAACATGTGAAAAAATAATTAGAATCTAAGAAGCATTAACCATTGCGTTATCTTTTATTACTTTATGATGTACTTACACTTTATTGCGAGCAGGCCTTTTGGGGGCGAATTCGAACAGAACAGCCAACGTCTATCGATAGGCAGCCTCCAGGTGTACGTTGAAGAGAGATTACGGGATGCACCACCAAGGTATGTTTACATTATCTACTTGAACCCCAATGTACCCAATGCCGAGTGTAGGTCTCTTCATAGGCACTCCATTCTTTTCGGTCCCTTGCCTTTCGCTTCCAGTCCCAACCAGCTATTTGGACAATCTTTTATGAGGTATATTTACATTATCTACTTCAACCCGTATCTACGCAATGCCGATTATAGATCTTTTGAGATGCACTCCATTCTTTTCGGTCTCTTGCCTTTCGCTTCCAGTCCCAGCCAGCTATTTTGACAACCTCTTATGAGAGTTAGTCATTTAGATTAATGAACATTGAAAACAAATGTCGTGCATATATCTACAATCATAATAAAAAAGAAAAATGCTACTTTATAATTCGAAAACATGCTATGTAGTAAGTAGTATTCCTGATCGAAAGAGTCATGAACAAAAACAAGCGAGTATTTTTTGCCATTAAGACAGGTGTCAAGCATTTTAATTCGTAGTGATTTCGATTAAATGCGTTGCTAAATTAAATAGATGATTACAAACGCTCACGAAAAAGATTGCGATTATCACTGGAAGCATCATGTTTGACAAAAAAAAATCACTAACGTGTTTTGCATTACACGTAATGTTAAGTAAATAAGATACGCGCGAGAAAGGTCTCGAAGAACGCGGGAGGCGTCTGACAGATGCCTTTGCTTTAAAATAAAGTAAGAGGATAATATGAATAATGGCACTCTATCTGGCTGTGCAACCCCGACTTTCTTGAACAACTACTGCTTCCATGTAATTCATCCGTAATAATACCTCACATTTGTAGTTTGTTTTGTTATTTTTTTAGTTTAAATATATAGCCTAAAGAATAAGACGTCCGGTGCATTCATCCGTATCTAGCGATGCAACGGTGTTCGAATCCCGCAGGCGGGTACCAATTTTTCTAATGAAATACGTACTTATCAAATGTTCACGATTGACTTCCACGGTGAAGGAATAACATCGTGTAATAAAAATCAAACCCGCAAAATTATAATTTGCGTAATTACTGGTAGTAGGACCTCTTGTGAGTCCGCACGGGTAGATACCACCGCCTTGTCTATTTCTGCCGTGAAGCAGTAATGCGTTTCGGTTTGAAGGGTGGGGCAGCCGTTGTAACTAGGTATACTGAGACCTTAGAACTTATATCTCAATGTGAGTGGCGCATTTACGTTTTAGGTTACTATGGGCCCCAGTAACCACTTAACGCCAGGTGGGCTGTGAGCTCATCCACCCATCTAAGCAATAAAAAAAAAGAAAACATAGTTTATTGCTAATTCGTCCTAAAAAATATTATTTCGCTATCATTACTATTTCACGCACGTCCGAGTGTAATTATGAAATATAAATAATGTTTATCATACTTTTTACTTTAATCATGTTTTGTTTTAAATTACAGGTATTCCAGGACACCAACAACGGATATAGCCGTGTATCCAGCTATAGCATATCTGAACTCCGGATTTGTAAGTAGCCTTATTAATCAGTTAGAGTTACTTCAGTTTTACTATAAAAGCAGACTAATAACACATGTACTAGGCTGCACTAAAAGTATCGGAAATGGAATATTTCCACTGTTCCTGTCATATTAAAATCTTTTTAATTGAAAACTCCTTGGTTTTAAAAATCGATTACCATTTATTTATTTAAAAAAAGATTCTCGGTCTTGTCACGAGGTTTTGTCGAACTTGTTTAGTCGTTGAGAAAATGGAATTGACTCGAAAAAAATCAAGAGCGATGATTTATTATGACTTTCGAAGTGGTTTAACACAAAAACAGTGTGTTGACCGGATGATGTCTGCATTTGGTGATGAAGCCCCATCCAAAACCACAATTTATCGCTGGTTTGCTGAGTTTCAACGTGGACGTGTCAAGCTCAGTGATGATCCCCGTCAAGGTCGTCCAAAAACTGCAGTCACCCAAGAAAACGTTGATGCTGTGCGTAAGCTGATTGAGGAAGATCGACATGTGACATACCGCGAAATTCAGGCAACTTTAGACATTGGCATGAGTCAAATACAAATAATCTTGCATGAACAATTAGGTGTAAAAAAGTTGTTTTCCCGATGGATACCGCATTCGCTCTGTGAAGAGCAAAAAGCGGCTCGCGTTACTTGGTGCGTCAGAACTCTCGAAAGATTCCACGCAGGATCCTCAAATGCTGTATACAACATTGTATCAGGTGACGAATCCTGGATATACGCGTACGAACCCGAAACAAAAAACCAGTCACGAGTTTGGGTGTTCGAAAATGAGTTAAAGCCAACAAAAATTGTTCGTTCACGGAGTGTTGCAAAAAAAATGGTGGCCACGTTTGTCTCCAAAACCGGCCATGTTACGACTATTCCTCTTGAGGGACAAAGAACGGTTAATGCAGAATGGTATGCTAGCATTTGTTTGCCACAGGTCGTTTCTGAACTCCGTAAAGAGAACTGCAACCGCCGCATCATCCTCCATCACGACAATGCGAGTTCTCACACCGTGCACAGAACAAAAGAGTTTTTAGAGCAAGAAAACATAGAATTATTAGACCATCCGCCGTACAGCCCCGACCTAATCCCTAATGATTTCTATACTTTCCCTAAAATAAAGAATAAGATGCGTGGACAGAGATTTTCATCACCTGAAGAAGCTGTGGACGCCTACAAAACGGCCATTTTGGAAACCCCAACTTCCGAATGGAATGGTTGCTTCAATGATTGGTTCCATCGTATGGAAAAATGTGTCAAATTTCGCGGAGAATACTTCGAAAAGCAATAAATACGTTTTTAAATAGTAATGTTGTGTCACTTCGTTAATTCCCGAAATTTTCGGTGCCGCCCTCGTACTAACTTAATAACAAAAAAATTAATTGTTTTTAATATTCGCGGTTATCTTTTTTTTATTGCTTAGATGAGTGGACGAGCTCACAGCCCACCTGGTGTTAAGTGGTTACTGGAGCCCATAGACATTTACAACGCAAATGCCCACCTTGAGATATAAGTTCTAAGGTCTCAGTATAGTTACAACGGCTGCCCCACCCTTCAAGCTGAAACGCAGTACTGCTTCACGGCAGAAATTGGCGGAAAAATATCTGCATTACAGATTTTTTTCCTTTTGTGTGTTCAATAAGATTGCCTTCTACAATAGACGTGTATGTGGCCCACATGATGGTGTGGTTGCCCTCGCTCGAGACCATCATCAATGACAGTGTTATAAGTCTTTAGCTATAGGCATCACCCAGCTGTCTTTTTTTTTTATGATTGAAGGATTACTGGTGGCCCGGAGGCCTTTCCAGTTTCACCAGGACAGGCACCCAGCTGTGCATAAAGATACCTCTCATCATTATAATAATTTTATCAATTTTTTATTTGTTTCAGATACACGATAGTAGTATACCTCCTCCGCCATACACAGAAGAGAAGTTAGAAGAAAACACACATAATACAGTGCACATATAACTGAAAAGAAAATTGTAATTGGTTTTTAAAATTTGTACATACTTGTTAAATATATTGAAGTGATCTGCCACCTTTCGAAATAATTGCATTTTGAACTTAAATCAATCGAATTCAAAGGGATTCGTTTAATATGATTGATTAGACATTATTGGTATGTAAGAACAAATGATCAAAATTATTATCATCATCATCATTAGACTCCTATGCGGTAGGGTCTCTAATGCCCATAGCATTACTGATGTCAATGAGCGTCAGTATCCACTCACCATTAGATAGGACACAATAATATTATGCTCGACAGCATTCAGAGCCATAAAAAGTAAAAAGGATACCCCAATTAATTGTTCACGTCATCTTCTTTTAACAACACACAACCCCCCAAGAGCCAAGCCGGAAGTTATCCAGCTCAGTCCACTTGGAACTGCTTTGTTAATCGAAAGTGCATTTAGGGGCAACAATTTTAGCATGACTAACGAGATTTGAAAGGAGTCTTCAGCAATAGGAAGCATTTGTTTACAATAATTATACATAGATTAATGTACCTACATAATTTTTTTTATGGAAAACTAATTACAGGGGCTGTAAATTTAAGATTTTTTTTTTATTGCTTAGATGGATGGACGAGCTCACAGCCCACCTGATGTTAAGTGGTTACTGGAGCCCATAGACATCTACAACGTAAGTGCGCCACCCACCTTGAGATATAAGTGCTAAGCTCTCAGTATAGTTACAACGACTGCCCCACCCTTCAAACCGAAACGCATTACTGCTTCACGGCAGAAATAGGCAGGGCGGTGGTACCTACTCGTGCGGACTCACAAGAGGTCCTACCACCAGTAATGATGTTAATTATTTAATTTTTAAATTTTTTAAACAAAAAGAACTGTCATAATTTTGGGCGCGTAATACGTACTACTTAAAGCGCAATGACAGCCATAATCGGTTTCCTAAAACGTAATAAATTATCAATCAGTAAGCATTCAAAGGCAATAAAAAGATATGGGAGGTAATTTTGTTTTGCGGATATGCGCTTCCCAGATTAGAATTGGACGAACCCATTTATTTTTTTTGCTTAAATGGGTAGACGAGCTCACGGCCCACCTGGTGTTAAGTAGTTACTGGAGCCCATAGACATCTACGACGTAAATGCGCTACCCGGCTTGAGATATAAGTTCTAAGGTCTCAAGTATAGTTACAGCGGCTGCCTCACACTTCAAACTGAAACGCATTACTGCGTCACGGCAGTAATAAACAGGGTGGTGGTACTACCCGCGCGGACTCATAAGAGGTCCTACCACCACTAAGTACGCAAATTATAATTTTGCCAGTTTGATTTTTATTACACTATGTTATTCCTTCACAGTGGAAGTCAATCGTGAACATTTGTTGAATACGTATTTCATTAGAAAGATTCCCCATAAAAAAAGAAAAATCCCATCGGGGTCGTAAAAGGCGACTAAGAAACTTTTTCAGGCTTACAGTCTTATATCAACGATAGCATTCCCAAGGAAGGTCAACAAGCAGATATCAAGCAGACGGTCGGTCGTAAAACTCGTGCCAAAGAATTGTTGAATTCTTTGATGACTTTTGTTATATTCTTTTATATTTGTACTCAGCAATTCATTTTAACAAAAAATTAAGGGCAGTATGTCAGTAGGTAGGCCAATGCAAGATTCCATTGTTTGAGACTTAATTGTACCATAAATATTTTTCTCAATCTTTTTAAAGCTTCCTTAATTTGCAGTAGTGTCAAATGTAAGCCACAAATTTGGTACATTGAGGCAATAAAAAAAGGTTTTTTTTTTGGCAAATACAAAATTCTATTCATTAAACAATAAATTTTTAACAGTTTTAGGAGGTGAGCATGCCAATTATGCCCGTATCAGTTAGTTAGTGTAGTCAGTGCTGCAACTACATCACCACTGTGTTCCCGTAATGTTCTCTCTGCCAGCGTTCTGGAGATTTCCAATTCCTTAACCTATAAATAAAAAAACTTGCTTTAAGAGACATATTTAAAGGCTAGTTAAATTTAGAAATTTTACCTCTATTCTGACAGCATAAAAAGGCAGTTTGGTTACAAATACTAAGTTACTAGGACATCAATATGACAATACATTATATTTTTTATAGATCAGGTTGTAGGGTATTTTTTTATTCAGCCATCAGCAACCATCATTGTCAATGTAACGATCAGGTTTGAGACATTCACATTTTTATGATAGATATGGCCCACCTACTTGTGAGTGTCTATGATTGCTTATAGACATCAATAATATTATGGAGCACAACTAAGCTGGTACCTCCAGTACATTCTTTTCAACCCTCATCTAAAGTAATTTATATCAATGTGCTTAAGGAATATTGTAGCAAGATCAGTGCTGATATGGTTACAGTACAGAGGGAGTCTCAATTGTGATATAATAATATCCTACCTAAATACTTCAATTAAGTCAAGTTATCAAAAAGATCTACAATAGGTAATATTAAATTATTAAGATTACAATATAATTCTATTTATTGTTTTTAATTTATCAAAACAAGGAGCATATTTGGTATGGCTCTTGAACATACTACCATGTATGCTACATCATCTACATGCAAATGATTTTATTAAATTAACAGCTAAGATTTTAACAGCTAAGATTTTAGTAAATTAACAGCTTTCGAGGTGGGTGGCGCATTTACGTTGTAGATGTCTATGGGCTCCAGTAACCACTTAACACCAGGTGGGCTGTGAGCTTGTCCATCCATCAAAGCAATAAAAAAAAAACCTAAAGTCAAAGTGATTTGAAGTATGCAAAAGTACTTTCAATCAAAATTTGATTAATTCGAATTTTATAAGCACTATAGATAGACAGTTCCTTCTCCATAATTATATACCTCAAACCATAAACAAATTTTGAAAGCTACTAGATGTGATAGAAGTTGTTTGTACTTTTCATTTAGATTTTTACTCACAATTAACTCTATGTCATCTTTTTTGACTGAAACTTTTTGTAATTCTTGTTCTTTCTCTAAACGTTCAGCAGCTTCTTTGTTTCTTCGGTCTCCAATTAATGAAAGTGCCTGGAATTCAAATATACATTATTTTAATCACACATTTCGGATTTTTTTAAAATAGCAAGAGAAATAAATAAAAAAGGTTTTTCTGATATTCATAATACATTCGCCGAATATTAAATCTCCACCTTAAAAAAAATGTACTTGTGAATATATCATGGAAATAGTATTTTCTGAAAATAGAGAAATAATTTTAGGAAACAGTGAAGATGACAATATAGTGAGTTACCTGCAGAAGGAACATTAATTGCTTAGAGCTTCAAACTAAATAACAGTATTTTTATAATTTAGTCTAACAAACAATACATTACTTTAAGTCCCTCACTTTTTAACTCTCAAGTTTCAATCTTCATGCCATTTACCTTTTTTTTGCATTTTACCCATTTTGAAAAATGAATCTGGGGTTTTTCTCAAATATTTCCATGCGAATGGTATTTTATGAGCAGAATGCACCTCCTAGCACTGATTTTTGTGGCACAGCTTTCAATATTTTGTCAACTTTTAATCCCATCTTTTTTTTATGATTGAAAGTTTACTGGTGGCCCGAAGGCCTTTCCAGTTTCACCAGGACAGGTGGGCGAGCAAAGGCTCAGCCAAGAGGGGTGGGATTTGCTAACAACTGCCCGAGCGCCTCCGAAGGAGACCTAACAACTCAAAAGCAATTGCTTCGCGAATGAATCTACTACCGGATCGTAATCGCGACCCACTGAGAAGATCCGGCGAGAAACTCAGCGGGCTGATGCATGGGTTCCGTTGCACGTCAACCTCTTTGTCGAGTCCAACAAGTTTGGTTACCAGGGTTCTTAAGCCTACTCCTAGTGTAAGAGATGAAGACGTCTAATGCAAAGATGATTGGATCTGACGGATCCGTAAGGACGTGTCGAAGGCGTCGACGGTTACTGGCTCCTGCATGATCAGGATTCGGGGAGCAGTCAGCGGCGGCAACGATAAGGCGATTATCATGACGAATCCCATTTATGAACATTCGTGTTCAGCCAGCTGCACAAATGCTTTAGACTGTTGAAACAAGCAGCTCAGTAATACATGTTCAATATCAACAATAACTATCAGCAGTGCTGCTATTTAGTGTTGAAACTTCCGGAAAGGAATTTACTTAAAATTTAATGAATTTATGTTGTATATAATTATTTTTGAGAGCATTGGTCACATAGTTCAAGGCATTTTAAAACCTGGTACTTATTTAAGAACAAGTTTTTAACATTAACAAAAATACTCACGCCTGATATGTCTTGGGAGGATATTTCCATTTCTTCAGCATAATCAGTAACTTTTTCCAAGTCCGCCACTCCGCTATCATGTTTTGCGGTTTTCTTTTGAGTTTTGTCTTTGTCATGCTGAATATCATCTGTATCACCATTGATTTCTTCGTCTGCCATTTCTAGTTTATTATATTTACAAGTTCGCCGTTATCCACAGAATCAAGTCTCTAAGTAAATTTAAAGCTACAAAAACCTCTTTTATAGCATTTTCGTAATGTCTCACAAGATTCACGAAAGTTCACATAGAATATTGTCCAATTTTGAGGTTATAGTAGGGATAGCGATCTCAGATCGATTTTTTACGAACAAATGATCGATTTTTCCTGATATAAGCTAATGAATCGATCTTGTATAGTAGAAAAAGAAAATTCAATGTTTTGTTTCGGACAGTCAACAACCCCTAAAAATTTATAATTAATTGAGGTTTAGTCAATAAATGGATTATAAGTAATCATGATTAACGCACTCAAACTCACGTAAAACATCCCATGTTACCTTACTAATCATACGTTTGATAAATATATGACAACAACTCCTCATTTTATCTCAACAAACACAAATAATAAAACCCAAATATAAATGTGCAGTTCACTCGCGGTAAAAGAGTAACCTTCAGACGTACTCTATCTCATTTTCTCGTAGGCTAAATTCTACAGATGCTTAAGTTACTCGTTTTAGCGTAACTTTTCCACATCATTAAAGTTCAAATCGCAATGGCGCCAAAAAAAGTTCAAAATATTTTCTTCTCGTGTGAAATGTATTATGCTGGTTCGTATTGCGCCTTTTACGAAATATGACTTCTATCATGTGAATTATTTATTCATATGTCTAGATTGTTTTCCACTTAATTAGAAGTTTGTACAGCTCGAAAGAAGATCGATGAATCATGAATCGATGTTCTAGACATCATCTTTATTGTGAATCGAGTTTTAAGACTTCGCCCACTTCGATAAAGCGGCACGACATGAGAACCTTCTCATCGTGGCCGCCGGTAACTACATTCCCGATCCTGCGGAAAGAATGGAAAGCAGTCAACGTCGCCCCAAATACGTCATTTCGGATCCTCCCGATCCACTAACGGTGCTTTTAGGTACCTCAAGCACTGGTCATCGTTCCCGTCGAACCGTCGCTTGCGACGAAGGGCTCGACGAGTAACTTAACCCTCAGACACAGCCCATTGAGTTTCTCGCCGGATCTTCTCAGTGGGTCGCGTTTCCGATCCGGTTCGTACCACCTTGTAGAGTTGGAACACTACAATATCGAACGTCAAATACCGGTAAAATGGGGTGATTAGGGACAAATTCCAACTTTATGACCAATTTTAAGGTAGTTGGTGGTTTTAAGGTATTTAAAGTAGCTACATTTATAATGCTATATCAGGATCAAAATGATTGAGTCTTGGGGGCATCTGTGTTATCCAATTTAAAACTATGCAACTAGCATTCTAGTTTAAGCAAAAAAAGCAAAAATAGGTGTAGTCCCTATTTACCCGGAAATTGCGGTTAATGGGGACGAAATTAATGTTCATAGAGAAATTAGCTAGGGTTGGCACTACTTGGTTTTGATTTGTTTATTTATTTAGTTGCACCAACAAAGTGATCATCACTAAAAAAAACATTGAAAAAGTGACAAAAGTACATGGCAGATGTCACCTCAATTATAGGTGCAATCGACAGTGCATTAACAACAAATATATATAACCAACACTTGATTACATTTAATTGATTATGATTCATTTATATTTACTTGGGAAATTATCCGCGACAGATTTGTCCTGTAAGTTGTGGGACAATTAAAAAAAACATCTATTTCATCACTTAAAATTAGTTCAGCACAATCGGACAACTCCGAATGATTATTGACGGAGACCACGCTACCGTGGACATTATTGTAGTCCCAAAGGATTCTGTATTTGGGAGAGTAAGCACCTAAATTCGAACGACGCTGCGCTTACCGGTACGCGGTCTCCAGTCCAGAACACGTCTGCTCCATCGGCCATCGGTTCTGCGACACGTATGTCCGGCCCATCGCCACTTCAGCTTGCTAATCTTTAGGGCTATGTCGGTTACTTTGGTTCTTTGACGGATTTCATCATTTCTGACTCGATCCATCAAAGAAACTCCGAGCATACCCCTTTCCATAGCACGCTGAGCGACTTTGAACTTACGGACCAGACCTACGGTCAATGTCCACGTTTCAGCGCCATATGTCATGACCGGTAGTACGCAAGCGTTGAAGACTTTTGTCTTTAGGCATTGCGGGATTGCTGAGTTTAAGATATGACGGAGTTTTCCATACGCAGCCCAGCCCAACTGTATGCGCCTATCAGCTTCCTTCTGAAAGTTGGCCCTGTCTAGCTGAACTATTTGGCCTAGATAGGTGTATTCTGACACAACTTCAAGTACCGCGGATTCGACTATTACCGGTCCAGGAATGATATGGTCGTTGAACATGACCTTGGTTTTGTCCAGATTCATTCCCAGACCAACACGTCGTGACGTGGCATTGAGCTCACCCAGCATACAGCTGACATCCTCCAGCGACTCTGCAATTATAACGTATCGTCTGCAAATCGGAGGTGTGAGAGATACTCGCCATTGACATTGATGCCCAGCTTACTCCAGTCCAGAGTCTTGAAGACATTCTCGAGAGCAGCAGTGAACAGTTTCGGCGATACGTCACCCTGTCGCACCCCTCTGTGAAGCTCAATCGGGTTTGTCTGCTGGTTTTGGATCTGGACTGTCATTTTGGCGGCTTTATATAAACTCTTCAACACCTCAATCGACTAGGCATCGCTGTACGGATTCCAGAATAGCCCAAGTTTCGACGGAGTCGAAGGCTTTTTCGTAGTCTACAAACGCGAGACACAGAGGACGATTGTATTCTTCAGTCTTCAGAATAACCTGTCTCAGCGTGTGGATGTGGTCTACCGTATTGTAAGCCTTTGCGAAACCCAGCCTGCTCCGGAGGTTGGAACTCGTCAAGTCTAGAGGCCAAGCGATTTGTAAGGACTCTCGAGAACAGCTTATAAATATGGCTAAGAAGTGAAATAGGCCTGTAGTTCTTGAGCAGAGCACGGTCACCCTTCTTAAAGAAATTAAGCTATTTCAACTAAAGACTTATTCCCAATTTCATAGGCTTCTATTGCTGTTTTTAATATTAAGGGACCATATCTCTTATAAGGCTTTGCACTCTTTGATACGTACACGCAAGGCATATCTTAAAATAGAAAACAATACGTAACTGATAATATAAATATTTGCCAAACCATAAAATAACACATTGATAATTTTGAATAAAAGTTCTAGACAAAAACATCATGAATAAACCCGATTCTTACCAACAAATTTAAAAAATATTGTTATAACTACATAGACAACCCTACAAACCTGTACCTATTTATACTTACGTCGTTTCCATTTCACTTATTCTCCATCCCAATTGACCCCTTTTTCGTTATTATTTGTACCTGAGACGTCCCCGATATCCCCAAAAACAACAGATTTTCACATGTATTTTTATTTTATCAAATACATTAAAACCAATAACAACTGAGACTTACCTTTAATATATATTAAGATGGTTCAAACACTAAATAACGTTTATAAATCACAGTCTTCTTCTATTATTATGAAATAAATAAAAGAGTGCAAAATTTCTAGCAGTAAAGTAATTACCACCACAGGAAGTTAATTTGAAATGCGATTTTTTATAAGTTAGCAGCTATTATCATGCATATTCAGAGTTGTTTTGTAAACTTTCAACATTCTACTATTAAACTACAAAAAATGGAAGATTTTGCAACGAATATAAAACTAATATTGAGCGTCGAAAGATATTCCTGTTTTTCCCCAATCACCCCATTATACGTACTACTAAATATAAAATACTAATATATAAAATCCTAGTTTAAAAAGAAACATAAATTTAAAAAGTTCCATGATAAAATTAAAAATGTTTGCCCACAGAGATAAACTTTTTTGATGTTAGAAATTAGAAAATGTACAGTGACATCTGTTAGTCTCTTGTGCCAATAAATAATTTATAGTTCTTTTTTGTAGAAACAGATGGCTACTGAGCTTTGCCACTTTTTCTTTCTTTATTTCAATGTAATAAAGCTTTAATTTGGCAATTTTATATGAATAGAAATTTAAGTTTTGTAGTTTTCCGCGTGCATATTTTAACCAAAGTTGTGGTTGTGTACCTACCCCTGTCAGTGCTGCTGTGCTGTGACTTCTGCTTCTTTTGTTTTTGCAATTATTATTTGATTTATTTTTATAATTTGGGCACGTTTTCCCGTTAATTTTAGTTGTAATAATAGTTGTGAAGTGAAGAATATTACTTAAAAGTGAAAGAAAAACGTCAAAGGTGAGTAAATTCGGTTTCCGTAATGTAAATGTCAACCTCTTCTATCTTGAATTTCACCACAGTTCATTTAAATTATTTATCAAGAGGTAATTTTTCACATTTAAGAGTATTTCTAGGTATATGAGTATGTTTTTCTTAAAATCTTTAAAAATTAAAATATCCAGTAATATGGAGTACTTTTCATTGATGTTACATCTTTATAGTTGCAAACCATTATATTTTTAAAAATAGTTACAGATGTGTTTTGTACGGATGGAGTTACGTTGTTGGAATTCTATGTTACTTAAATAAAAATATTCCTACTCCAAGCGTATATGTAGTTTATGACAGCTGAATATTTATTTTAAATGACCTTGTCTTTGTGATGAAGATAGATGTAGAGCTAAATTTTGTTGGAATACGTAATATTTATGTCATTCACTGGTCTATTGCTTGTGATTACCAATTGAACATTTGATTAAAATCTGTCTAGTGATACAAGGTAGTTTTCACACTAAAATACTATAATCCGGAATTCATAAGTTAAAGGAACACACACTCTATACAATGCTCTCCAAGATACCTTAATTTTTCTATTTTTATACCACATCTGTATTATATAGTGACTAATTTATCCACAATTTATCTGTGCTGAGAACTTAAAGAGCAAGAAGCCAATGTGGTTGTAAATTTTAATTGGGCCCTTTAGAAACCATACTCTGTATAGTTATCTGTAACTCCATTTGATGAATTATTAAAGTTGAACCTAGCTCCCGAATTGGTTATGCATGCCTTCATGAAAAATTCTACCTGTAAATTACTATTTGATGATGACAGAATTTGGTTCCTACAATATACGACAGCTACAAATAAATAAAATGTCATGTATTCATAGCATAACTTATTAAGTATGATTGTATTATGAACAGGCAGGAGTTCTTGCTTATTTATACTATTTATATATAGAAATACTAGTTGGAAGGATTAATTATTTTAATGCAACATTTGATACTTCAACTTCACCCAGCAAGGCATCGGAAAGTGCTCAAGTTGTAGTGTGTTTTCATATAGTAGTATGTGGCTTCACTTTATACTATCATGATCAGTGAATATGCCGTACATTAAAGCTAACAAAAAAGAAACAAAATTGAAACTATTTTTAATACAAAAGTTAGTATTTGTTGGTACTATTGTAGATGATGACTGAATAATGTTTTCAAATAAGTTATGTGTATTAGGCAATGTATTAAAAACCCATCTCATGTGATGTGTATAAAAATTATTCTAAATTTAAAGAAAAATGCAATAGAAAGCATAGGTTTCGGATTTTGGAGGACTTGGTTGTAGAGAAATGTAATTTTAATTTTCCTTTATTTTCAAATAGTATTTATAATTTATCTAAACTTTGCAGTATAATCATCCGTAAAAGCTTTTCGTATGTAATCCTACCTTAATTATTTAAGACTCAGTGTGATCCCTCAAATGTCAATGTCATTCGATAGATGGCGCTAAGCGTGTCATAACGAAATCAATTGCGTATAAAACCAGAAATAACTAGGGACGAAACTAATGGGTAAAACGATACCGAATGAAAAAATTTTATAATTAGAAAAACAAATCATCTAACTTTCAAAAAATTAATACGAGTTGGTTAGCATGTTAACGTGGCTCACCACCTACGCATCCTACTATAATATTAAAAATAAATTGTATTCCTACCTACATATATTAATATACGTATATAGTAATGTATTTTTATTTTTGAAGCGATGTAAACGTAACGTTAATTAAATGTCTTTTTTTCCTACTTATGCTGATCGCCTTGAGAGGCTATAAGCGTTACCTTAACGTGTAGGTGAGCTCTCGGGGCTCAAATCGGAGGTGTTGCTAACACTGGCCCTAGCAAAAGTAGTGGCTCGCAGAATCTACGGGTGTCTATAGGTTAATTTACTCACCGAGCCCTTCGTCGCAAGCGATGAGCTCGACGAGGACGGTGACTGGTGCTGAGGTACCGAAGTGCACCGTTAATGAATCAGGAGGATTCGTAATGACAAGTTTAGAGCAAGGTCGACTGTTCACCACACAGGATCTGGTATGTAATTTCCAGCGGCCACGACAAGAGGGTTTTCGTGTCGTGCCGCCTTCTCAAATTGGCGCATTGATGCCGACTGTATATACTTACTGATTGAGTCAAGCTCCAGGTCATCACGGAGATCCACATTTCTTAAGAACCACGGTGCTCCGACAGTTATCCTGCAAAAAACAGGATTAAATGACTTAAAGAAGTTCCAAATTAGTGCGGGTCGCATGAGCGAACACTACACTTACATAGGTAATGACCGGGCGTTTGCAAGCTTTGTAGAGTGTCATCTTATTACGAAGGGACAATTTACTTCGCTTTAATTAAATGCACCAAACTTGTCTCACAATCAATGAGCCATTGGAGATGGGTTAACCACAATACAAGTATATTTAGAGGCTTGTAGCGTAGTCATTTTTTTTTCCGTTTGATGGGGAATGACAACGGACAGCTGTCATTCTTGAGCAATAGAGAACTTCATACGTCAAGATGAGAGGCGTTAGTGATATGATGTTTATGGGATCAGTAATTGCTTACCACCAAACGGGCCCATCCGGCGAAACTACCAGTAAAAATGTCTTAAAGCCAATCCAAAATAATCTACGATTGAATTACTGATTGCGCTAAATAAAACATATCCTAAACTTTTGTTTTGTACCCATTAAGAGAACACGAGAAAATAATCGCTAGCAGGGTTCAAATGTGGAACGTTTATTCCAACTAAATCCACTTCGATAAAGCGGCACGACACGAGAACCCTCTCATCGTGGCTGCCGGTAACTACATTCCCGATCCTGCGGAAAGAATGGAAAGCAGTCGACGTCGCCCAAAACACGTCATCTCGGATCCTCCCGGTCCACTAACGGTGCTTCTAGGTACTTCAAGCACCGGTCACCGTTCTCGTCGAACCCGTCGCTTGCGACGAAGGGCTCGACGAGTAAATTAACTCTCAGACACAGCCCACTGAGTTTCTCGCCGGATCTTCTCAGTGGGTTGCGTTTCCGATCGGGTGGTAGATTCTGCGAAGCACGGCTCTTGCTAGGGTTCGTGTTAGCAACATCGTCAGGTTTGAGCCTCGTGAGCTCACCTACTGGTTAAGGTTACGCTGATATGGTCTCTCTAGACCAGAGGTCGGCAAAGTGTGGCTCCGGAGCCGCATGCGGCTCTTTGAACTCTTGAGTGTGGTTCTGGCACAAATATCCTACGGGATTGCCTGGCCTCTAATATTATCCGGTTGTGGACAAAAAAGCCAGTTAGTAGTATGTACGGTTATTTAATATCAGCACCCCTGACTGATGTTGATTATTATAGGTATTAATCGAAGCAATATACAATATAACATTTATTTTATGATTTGCAATAATAATTTATTACAAAAAAGTGTATTATTTCAGGAAAATATATATTTTTATAATAATATAAATAATTCATATGCATTATTATAAATGAAATGTTAAAACAAACAATATGTACGTATATGGTTGAAAATTGATTTTTATATGAGTTTATTTAAAAATGCCTGTAAATTTTGTATTAACATCATAATTTAATGAATCTCTAAGATTATGATAAATGTTTACTACATTTAGAAACAGATTTGGCTCTCAATTTTTAAAATCGTTTTAATTTGCATATTTGGCTCTTTGGCTAATAAGTTTGCCGACCGCTGCTCTAGACCATCAGCTAAGATAGGAAAAAAAAAAATATCTAACCACATTTTAAAACATAAAGACTGGCCACATCAGCAAGAAAGTCTAGTTTGCATTTTTTTTTTCATTATATCATTATATAATCTTGTTAAATGTCACTCTACTTTCCAAATTTTATAAAGTCTGAATGGTTCGAATGAAACAGCTATGAGTTGCAGAACAATACAACCTAGACGAAATTATAAGGGATTTTTTTTCTCATTTTGCTATGGAACGTCAGAACGTAAGGTCGAATGTATTTTGCTAAAATTGTTGTTAGACTGGTTGGTTTGTAATTTTTTTCTTTTTATTTCGATTTCTAATTGGTATATTAATAATTTTAAGTGTTCAACTTGTAAAGTTATAATTATGGATATGCTAATATTCCTACGATAGATGTCCACTAGCAGTAGAGTTTATAAAATGATAATTTCTATGTAAGAAGTTGCCGATTCTAGAGTCCGTGAAAGAGCTATGCTATATTCCAGTGAGGGAGCTCTTCATCATTTTACCAATTCTATCGATATGCTGCGATTTCCAAGTTGCATAGACCTCTAGGCGGGTAAGACAGCTGCCCGCGTCTGAGTGTGGTGTCAGATACAGGCCAATATCCACCACCGTGCGGCAACCTTTATCACGTCATTACGGATCCATTAGATCTAGATAACTCTTGCATTAGACGCCTTCAGCTCTAACACTAGGAGCAGGCTTAGGGACTCTGGTAATCGTACTCGTCAAACTCGGCAAATAATTCGACGTATACAACCTAATACATACATCAGCCTGCTGAGTTTCTCGCCGGACCTTCTCAGCAGGTCGCGATTCCTATCCGGTAGTATGATTTATTCGCGAAGCAGCTGCCCTTGAGCTGTTAGGTCTCTTTTGGAGGCACTCGGTCACCTGTTAGCAAATCCCACCCCTCCTGAGACCGTGCTCGTCTAGCTTTCATGGTGAAACTGAAAAGGTCTCGGACCATAAGTGATCTTTCCATCCTAAAAAAAGCCTATCTTTCACACCTGGCATAGCCAGCAAAAGTAACTGGGCCATCTAGACTTGCGTACTAACAAAAATGTACATAATAATAAGGTATCTGTGATTACAAATTTTAAATTCGTTTTTTAATATTGTAAGCATAAAATACGTAAAAAAATTACAAGTTAATATTTTTTAATTAAATTGTCAACGGAACACTACTACGATTTCAGTGCGTTGCTTGATTTATGAAAAATAATTTAACTTATCGTTTAGTATAACATATCGTATATCATAAGCCCAGCAGTACATTTTTAACCTTGGCTCGGTAAATAAACTGCAATCGGAAACGCAATTAAATAAGCTAATCTCTATTGATTACGTTTGTACTATACTATATAACACGGTAAAGTGAAATTATTCTCTGCCCACAAGCCAAACACGATTTACTTTCTCAAGATGTATCCGAAATGAAATCGCATGTGGAGACGTGTGTGTGTATTCGAATTCGTTTATTGTCCGGTCAAATGAATTTAAATACACGCATTATTCTTTAAAAAAAAACAGGGTCTGGATTCCCACGAGAAACGTTACTCGATAATTTATTCTATGCATCATCTTAACGGTCAGAAAAGTGCATTTGCATAAATGTGCTCTCGTTTCTTCAATTAATTTTCTCGTCGCCGGATAATTAAATTATTCGGTTGCATTATGTAATCGTGAAAAGAATTTTATTTAAATTTTATATTTAAATGCGTAACTTAAAATAACTTCAATTTGATTTCTCAAAAAAATTCTTGTTTTAGGCTTGAGAATAGGGATGCTCACATCGCCATATTTTTAATATTCTAAAAGTTAGTATGCAACGTGAATTGTAATCTGAGTACTAAGGCTTGGCAATCTATTAGCAATGTACAATAGTTCAATTCATATAAGAGCTTAAACGAATGAAAACATCATAACGAAAATTTGGGTTGCCCTAAAAACGTTAAAACCTACCGACGCAACGAAGCTACCTAATCTTCAGTGACCTTGATAAAATATGCCGAACCGTTTGGACCAATTGTGAGATTCGTCGGTTCCACAAAACGAGGTCGGCTAGACCTTGTATTATGAGCACAAGGGCTTTGCTCGGTTGAAGGATATTTCCGGGACTCGTTCAGCCTTGTGTAAGTTACCGCTCAAGGACTTTGAAAATGACAAATGAAGATCATTATTGTTTCTAGGTCCCCGGTCGCTCGTGCTCGGAATGCGAAAATATATTGCAAAATGTGCCGTAAAGTTTATTCCATTGAGTAGCAATTGAAACAATTAAGTTCAAACGTACATCATTATGTAATCACGTTTTCTAACCTTGCTAAATTAGCTTTCGTTGTATTCCGCGCTTGACTCATATTTGCTGCTAAACTTGCTACTAACCACCGAAATAAATTTCATTAATCGTTGAAATACCTATGGCAGTAAATTAAATATGTTTCGTAAGTCGGTATGAGCACAAATCATTTTTGAAGCTAAAAATATCGGTACGTTACTTAATACATTTCGCATAGAACATTTTAATCTACTTTAATAGATATGTCCTTTATCAACATTTGTTATCGGATTTGTCATCGTTTTACCTCGATCTAATTTGGTACTACAGTTCCACTATCTAACTGTATGTATCAATTTTAGGGTCATCTCTATATTATATCTACTATTATGTTTGGTATGGACTTTTCGGGTATTTGTAAACATTTTGCTCTATATCATTTATGAATTTTAACCGGCTTCAAAAAAAGACGAGGCTCTCAATTCGACTGTATGTTTTTTTTTATGTTTGTTACCTCATAACTGACTGGGTGGTGAATCGATTTTGATGATTCTTTTATTATTAGAAAGCTCACACTTCCCGTGTGGTCCCATTTGAATGTAGTCCAGTTCTGATAATGGTATTCCATGATAAAACCATATAAGTCTTAAATTTGCATTAAATACGTGTGCGACAAATAGATGAATAACTCAATATCACGCCAACCGATTTCCATGATTATTGTTTTTAGTGTATATTAATTTGTTTTGGAACATATTTTTTTTCTATTTGAAGTCAGTTTTTGTTAAAGCATGTCTATTTACAATTATTATAATTATAATATAGTATTTTTTCACGTTTTTTCTTTGGTATTGCGCGAATCGTGGACATCCGTTGCCATTAAAACTATAAAATATTTTATATCATCGGAAATAACATTATTATAATTATAATAACATAATATGTAGTTTCTGCATAAAAATAATGTACAAATAATCCGGGAGGATAGTAAAATATTTAACATAGAATTTATTTTAGAAATGAACAGTACTACTGCTCTATTTATCGTATTTTAGTTAACACATTGACTGCAATGTAGGTCACCGGTGCCCTACGCGGCCCACTGAAGTAATCATGTCGATTTTTGCTTTGCCTTCTTTTGTTTGTTAATGTATGTTTTAGTCTTTTAGGTCTCTTAAAAACAGATTCATTCTCAGTGTCTTTGGATTCGTTTTTCCCAGTGTTGTGGTAGGACCTCTTGTGAGTAGTCCGCACGGGTCAGTACTACCACCCCGCCTAAGTAATGCGTTTCGGTTTGAAGGGTGGGGCAGCCATTGTAACTATACTGAGATCTTAGAAATTATATCTCAAGGTAGGTGGCGCATTTACGTTGTAGATGTCTATGGGCTTCAGTAACCACTTAACACCAGGTGGGCTGTGAGCTCGCCCACCCATCTAAGCAAAAAAAAGTCTACTAGATATGCCGGCGCCTTAGTAAGAAGAAATCGACATAATTACTTCAGTGCACCGCGTAGGGCACTGGTGACTAATGTACATGGCAGACAACGTATTAAACAAAATATGAGAAAAAGTTATCTAATTAAAAGTATTTTTAGAGTCTCATCTCGCTGTTTTTATTGTCATTACATTATTTCCGACGTTTCAAACACTTTACTATCATCGTTGTGGACAAATAAGATTAAGAAGCTACATGTTAATCCAGAAAAAAAGTACCAACGCTCTGAGAACGTTACTAGGCCTATGAAAAATAATTGAACCTTTAGCATGTTATAAAACAGTAAAATTAATCTAAATGAGTTAGTCACTTTAAAATACACGATAAAACAATGTGATTCGAAAGTCTTGGAACACGTTAAACGACAACAATACCCAGATGAAGAGTATTAAAGTTTAAGAAGAAAAGTTTTTGAAATTGTTGATATATTTGAACGTGTAGATGTAACGAATCGCCTCAGGCGAAGTGCACACACACAATTCTTGCATCCGCGAAACGATGCTCTATACATTGAGCCGCTACTCGATTCTTATTCGACTGAATATCACCAAATGCAAGTTCTTAAAAAACAAAATTGTTTTCCATACGATACATCGATTTTTAAATACAATAAAATAATATCGGAAAACATAAAGCTTATTTTTGCAGAACAAATTACTGCTAACAATTCCGGACAAATAATGATAAATAAATTGAGGTTCATAGAGTATAAAGGTTTTTCAAGAAACCGGAATTCACTGATTGGCTCGCAAATATTTCAGGCTTAAATTTTATTGATGAGTAGAAAATAAAGAAAAGTCTGGGTATGTAATAAGAAAAAAAAATAAGACAGGATTTTCTCAAAATACCCTTTTGTCAGTATGCTTAAATAGTAAAGAAACCCTTGGCTTATGATGTTTAAGATTGATAAGCACTCGTGCACATCTGTTGAACTAAGCAAAAAAATAATCATGTTTTAATATAATTATAATATGTATATTTTATGATAATAATTTTGTCTTTATGAAGCGAAGCTGCTGCATCATTTAGAGCTCGAACGTCATTCTATGAATTCTGAAAAAACGCTATCGTCATTATGACATTTAACTTCCTTACTATAAACTGAACGATTTTCTGAAGATTTTAAATATTAAATGTAAAATATAGCTTCAGCGAAAAGTATTTGTAAGTGAGTTAATTAAAGCATAAAGTTTCGCTTCTTACAGACGCCAGGCGAAATAGTATTTTTTCACGTTTTTTCTTTGGTATTGCGCGAATCGTGGACATTCGTTGCCATTAAAACTATAAAATATTTTATATCATCGGAAATAACATGATTGAAAATAAAATGCGCGAGACGAAACAGTAAATGTAGTTTTAAACAATATGTTTCTTTAATAAATAATATGAACCTTTTGTGTAGTGAATACAAAAAAGAAACTAATGAATAATTGTTAGAATAGATTTATTAAAGATTACAAGTGAAGATGCAATAACTATGAAATACTACTTTATTATGACATACTATAATATCAAATATCGATCAGCATGCATGTAAGTTTGTTTTGTTTAATTAGATTTCAAAAGACCCACACTTCCTGTATGAACACTTGAACAGGTATGTCGACGAGACATAGTACCTACGTACATACGTTTAAAAAGCTTAGTTCGTCTAAGTGAATCATAATGCGTGCGTTTAACGAAAAACCTACCCTAAAGCCATGAAGTTGAAGTTGCAAACGCATTGATTATTGTTAGTACGGGACGGGTCAGTATTCAGCGGTTAACTTACTCGTCTGCAGGGCATCGACCTCGGATAGCACGCGGTCCTGGTTCTCCTGGACGCTTGTACTGTCTCGTCGACCGACAAGCTTTTGAGGACTGCAATGGTACGTTTTTTTTTTCTATTCATAATAATAATCAACACAATCATAACGTTTAAGAACGAAGCCATGATCACATCGTACAATAGTTATGCTAATCTTGTTTAAAATATTACGTCAAGGGAATAATCCTTAGAGGTTTTCAATTTTCCTCAACTGCTCAATGAGTTCGTAGGTTTACATATTATTCAGTTTATATAGTGTGAACCATAGGTAGTATTTGTAGCGGTGTGTATATTCTCGATTCTAAAAGTCTAACGTTCTAAATATTTATTTATTTTAGACATTCGAATTCAAATCTCTAAAAGTATACAAACGGCCCTAGGATCCAAAAATATCGTTCATCCCTAATCATAGTTGCAAAATTATAATAAGGTATGAAATGAAATAAAAATAACTAAAAATGTTTCTTTACATATTATAATGTAATAAAAATCTAACACATTTTTCTTTCGATTAATCACAGCTTTGAAAATGAATTTTTAAAGTAACTTGTTTATCTTAAATAATGAGGTATAATGAGTACATTTGTATTTTGGAATGTATTTTTATTACCTTGTTAGACAGACTTGTGCATACAGACGCATTTATTATTTCTAATTTTATTGTTAACGCTCAGGAACTTTATTTAATTTTATTTATTGCCTCAACAGGCAGACGAGCATACGGCCCATCCGATGATGAGTGGTCACTGATGCTCAAGGATATCAGCAATCAAGAGTACAGTTGAACCGCTGCCTTCACACTGGAAGTCATTCGGAGCTCGATTAAAAAAGGACCCCTCATAGCGCTCGGGAAACACGGTAGAGGAAGAGACTTCGTTCCAAAGCCGGATGGTACGTGACAAAAAGATCTCTGTAAACGAACTGTAGATTGCTGCTGTATTTTCAGTAATATGCATGAACCCCTGCTCTGTGCTAATGGCAGTTGTTTCCCACCTCTAGTTACTGCTTACTACTTTTTATACTAAATAGTATATACAATAATTAAAAAAATGACAGAATCATTTCAAACAATTACTTAAAGCACTCCCTATAACACATGATCAAAGTCCCCTCTGTAGATCTCTAGGTATTTGGGTCCTCTAGGACAATCCGTGAAAACGGGATTAACGACAATGGAAATAAATAAAAAAGGGATGTTAAAAAACTGTGCGTCATTAGTATTTCGTTTACATATTTTTTATACACGTGACCTCCACGTCTTTGACGCGAATAACTCAGGGGTCGCGACCCCCAGGCTAAAAAACAATTTTCTAAACCATCAAAAAACAAATTTATCTTTACCATAAAATCAAAAACTTGAGTAATGTGAAAGTGTATAAAGTTACTTAGCTTTATACAGCAGCTAACAGCAGAAAAAAAAACTGAATATGTTCTATGGATTTTGTCGGTTATATGTAATGTGTCAATTATTAGCTAATGTAACGTATCTTTTACCTACATATACATATTGGCTACCTTAAAAGAATATCACAAAAATTTACAAAATTCTTAAAGCATATTCTCGTTTTTTGTCAGTATTAAAGACTAAGCAGATTTTATGTGTGCGGTATTCTTATTACGATCATAATAAAAAAAATCAATTCAATTAATCGAAGGATAATTCAATGTCTTCAATTGAGGCAATTGACATGTCCTTATTGAACTCCCACTTTATAAAATGTAACAAATAAAGTTTGAATTTTTTGAATTTTTCACTGGTGGTAGGACCTCTTGTGAGTCCGCACGGGTAGGTACCACCACCCCGCCTATTTCTGCCGTGAAGCAGTAATGCGTTTCGGTTTGAAGGGTGGGGTAGCCGTTGTAACTATACTGAGACCTTAGAACTTATATCTCAAGGTGGGTGGCGCATTTACATTGTAGATGTCTATGGGCTCCAGTAACCACTTAACACCAGGTGGGCTGTGAGCTCGTCCACCCAACTAAGCGATAAAAAAAAAAAGAATTAGTGAAAAATATTTAAAAAATTAAAAAGAGCAAATAAAAAAGCGTCGAATAGTTGAAACCAAACACGGGAATAACTTGTTGTATAAATAAACACTCGGTCCGTTATATCTTGATAATAAACGTACAAATATCGTGTCAACAACCAGACGCGAGCAGGGTCATTATGAAAATTTATCGTCACAGGTCCAATAATTAAAAATTAGTTAATGCGGTTTTGTGTGATGTGGCGTATTGCAAATCAGGTTATCGATTTGTAGTAGTTTAGTGACACAGGCCGGACAACGACCCTATAAAGCCAACGAACACAGCAGTGCACCACCAATATTGGTGCTCAAACCGTTTCTATAAATAATTATGATAAAATTTGAATATACTAGAGGTCCCGCAGTAGTCGAAATTCGACTATAATTAATTGAAATTGTAAGTTTGTACACTATCATGATTGTATTTTATACTTCTATAATCACAAATTTCGCCAAGACTACACTATAAAATAATATTAATAAAGACAAACAATATTTAATCTATTCTCAATTTGACCACAGTCGTCAAGAACAAAAGTTTGACAATAAATAGTATATATGCGTGTGTGCGTCAAATACATGGTATGTAGTGTGTGTAATGTTTTCTTTATTGATTTAATGTATCTTTTATGCATTATTTAAAAAAAACATTAGCATTGTGCACTTCTTCTCTATATTCTCTATAAGTGTGGAAAATTTCATACGTCTCCGTCCGCGCAATTTTCGTAAAAAGGGATACAAAGTTTTTGCTTCACGTATTAATATATAGATTAATCTGTCTCTGTGCAGTTGTGCACGTTATATCTACAACAGTTGAAGGTTTCATTAATGTATTGAGCAAGCTGTCAGTTGTGTATTTCAATTAAAACCCACTGATAAATCCAACTTCAATGAATTGTCAATGTATAATTATATAGATGCAGTGTGCATTGCGTTGGTGAAGCATGCCTCTATGCTTTAGAAAACTTCGTGTCTAGCACGTGTATAGTAAAAGATAGCGTGGCTCTTAATATTTAAGGTTCGTATGTGAATAAAATGATCATTAAAGCTGACATCTCTGTGTGATGTTTTGTTTATCTGTATGCATGACTTTAATTATGATGATTCTGAATAATAAAGAAAAGAAACTTTGTAAAGATGCATATCTTTATAATTGTATGCATAGGCGGGTTTAATTAAACCTTTAAGCCCGATTGTGTTACGTTAATAGTTTTCTTTCAGAATGTATCGTAATACATAAACTATAAAACTGGAAAAAGCAATTAAATTTAAAAAAAAAAACATTAATAAATGTTTTTTAAGTACTTTTAATTAATAAAAAAGGAGGAAAAAACGAATAGGTAATTCAAAAATCGGTTTCAAAATTTGATGTTTTACGTGAAATCGTTGTTCACTAAGCTCCAAAATATCTTATCATGGAACCGTAACAGCTTATCAACATGATGGCTTGCCTAATAGCAAAAACTATAAACATTACAAGGGTAGTTAAAAAAACAATAATAAATTTTATTTAAAGTAATATTGGCACAATTAAGTTATAACGATTCGCATTTATCAATAGACTTTTTTCTGTTTTTTTTTTACAGACGTACGATACTAGCAATTTTGGTTTTTTTTTATTAGAAATACAAGAGTATGTCCTAAATTTTATACAAAAGAATCTGAGATGTATGAACATCGTACAAATATTGGATATTCTACAAAATAAAACCGCTTAAATAAATGGGAACAAGCTCTTTTAATATTAAGAATTTAGATACGATTGAGTAACCGCGTAACGGTGATGAAAAATTTTCTGTACTTATGTCTCGTTTACTCGTGCTGCTCGTGAAAATGGTACCTCGCAATTTCTTATCTGACAATGTTTAGCGCGGGCGGGGTCTCGAAATACGACTAGGAGGTCGACCGGGAGGGGGCTGGGTCACGAATTTACGGATACGGGTGCTCTCGACCCCAGCTTGGTTGGTAAGTGTGCCACCGATGTATGTAGGTTAACATCGGACGCGCTCGATACGCCACCGCTGCTGTTGTCGACCACCTAACCTAGATCAGGGTACGGAGAGATCGCTTATGAAATCTGGCGCACGCCGACTGCATAAATGAAATGCCACACTAAGTGATGTTTGATTTAATTTGATACAGCGTCAGTACAAGTCTGAACTAAAGTGTTCTCACTAATATTGAGCCATTTTAATAGGTAACATTTGACGTCTGTCAGTTTTATCTTCATAGTGAGGTGACCTGCTTAAAAACTTCGATTAAAATTAATGAATCGATACGGACTTGAAACATATGTGAATTTTAAAAATCATCAGGCGAATCCCTGTCCCATTATTATTTTATCTTTCGTAAATTTAAAAAGCAAAATAAGACGAGTGCATAATTTAACAAAAATATTGCATTTCCCCACTGCTGTCAGCACTCAGAGATATTATTAATTCATTTTTAATAATATTGTCTATTTTTTTATCTATTTTAGTAAATTTTTAAAACAGTTTTCGATAAACGGAAACGTCAATTGTGTTTGTCCTTTTAAAGCTTTTACTGATGTAGTTTGTAGTGAACGATTTCATTTTCAGAGCAAATATTTTGTTTGTTATTAAACTGTCTTATATACAATAAACAAAAGAATTTTCTTATTGGTTTCTGTAACTATTGTTCTTATGATAATCGTCAAACTTCGTAAGCCCCAACAATTGCTTGTGAAATTTTTGGTGACATAACTTGACTGCGGTTACCTAACCATTGCGATAATTTAAGTTCATTTTGTCTACCGTTTTTACTTTTCGAAACTTGCAATAAGGATTAAATTTCTTTGGTGTCTTTTAACATTTTTGTACGTTACCAAACAAATTGCTTGTGACGTAAAGCTTACGATTCCAAAATGTTGTTCCAACATTAATGCTGAATTTAAATACATATTTATTTTTTGATATTTACGCAGATTAATAAATTTTGAGGGTTTTTTTTTATTGCTTAAATGTGTGGACGAGCTCACAGCCCACCTGGTGTTAAGTGGTTACTGGAGCCCATAGACATCTACAACGTAAATGCGCCACACACCTTGAGATATAAGTTCTGAGGTCTCAGTATAGTTACAACGGCTGCCCCACCCTTCAAACCGAAACGCATTACTGCTTCACGGCAGAAATAGGCGGGGCAGTGGTACCTACCCGTGCGGACTCACAAGAGGTCCTACCACCAGTTACCAGGGTTTTAATTTAGTAATTTTTTTTTGCTTCTTGAAGATATTCGTCTATACGTTATTCCATAAATGACTTCCAGTTTACACAAAATAATATAAAATATAAAATTCGAATGAAGAAAAATGCAACAAATACGTGACTGCTGCTTACTACTCAATCGATAATAAACGTAAGCTCGCCGAAGAGCGTGACCGTATGTAACACTGTTTCTAAGCCGAGCTGGCGAAATTATGTCACACTCTCTATGTAGCAGTTATTGTAACACGAATTGCAAAAGTCGCGAGGCTAGCGGATACTGATTATACTGTTCAAGTCGTTCAGAAATATTGCGGATGCCTGAAATAGGAATTTGAATTAAAACAAAAAAAAACAAATATGATAACCTGTGCCACAATACTAGCTATTTTTTAAATAATAACCTTGTATCAATAATAACCTAAATTCAATCACCCAGTAAATTTATGAAATTATCCATGTTGTAAAACAAAATTAAGTACAGTTATGGAATTTCAATTTCTTAGGCAATAATTCCATTAGAACCCTTTAATTAGGGTGCTCTTTAGCAACCGATTTTCAGCCTTGCAGAATATGTTTTAACTTAATTGAACATCCGTAAAAATCTTGCTTCCTATTTAGTAAGGGTTGGTGATACAAATGTATTAATTATAATACAATAGTTCGTCATATAATTATAACATAGAGGAAAAGTTATTATTTAAATAAATTGGCTTGTTCTTTTCAAAAAATGTAAATGTACTCGTATTGTCTAGTTTTGAAAGCAGCATGTTACGATGATTGATCACAAAAAATATACCTTCTCTTAAAAGACATTCAACCATGCTATTTTCTCTAAAAAAAAAAGAAATGTCTGAAACAAACGTTTAATTTTTGCTTTCAAATTTCTGCTTCATTAATTTTAGAGATGAACAGTAGTAGCGTTTCGTAACAAATTCATTAGGTACCTATTCTATGTAATACAACATTTTTGCAAATACAAACTCGTAACCAAGTTAATGTGCAAATAAATTTAGTATTAATTCAATTAATTGGAACGCTGAATTGTCTAGGTAATAATAGCTAAACATGTTGTTAAATCTATATTTTCCAAATTAAATATTATTTTATGTGTTATAATAAAACTTAAATGTTATTCTAAAATAAGAACATGCCAAATGACCATGTTATTGTTAGGCTAATCGTTTTTCAATTGCCTGTTAATATAAATATAGTTGACTAGTTGACCCGGCAGACTTCGTAGTGCCTCAGTCGATAAATAAAAAATCTAAGCTTTTGTGTAAAATAGACTTAAAAGAAACAAAAGGAATCGTTCGACAGGGGGACACCAAAGGAAAAACAAAATTGTTATTCTTATTTAATTCCGAGTACTTTCATATTTATCTACCTTTTCAATTTTCTCTGGACTTCTACAAATAATTTAAGACCAAAATTAGCCAAATCGGTCCAGCCGCTCTCGAGTTTTAGCGAGACTAACGAACAGCATTTCTTTTTTTATATATATGTAGATTTGTTAAGACACAGAGGATAAAAAAAAATGTCCGAAGATATGGTAGGTTTATATTTGGTGCTGCCTGTTGGCGGACCGCTTCAGTCACGATACGGCCAATTGTGCGCACCGATTTCAAAATGAAAGTACCGCGCGCATCTAGGACGGTGAACGTATTCCTCGCCGAGATCTCTTGCAATTCATCAGCGACCAGGTAGGCACTTTGTTAGAGAATGCGGCAAAGCTAGATTATTTGATATTCGTAACTTCAACGTTTATTATAAATAACCACACCGCCGCTATTAGTGAGAAACTTTCGAACTAGATAGTTTCTAATTAACAGATATTTTACGTGGGTAGTAGTATGGTTTATTGTAATGTTTTTGTTTGGTTTAAAAATAAATATGCACAGAGGTAGTAAACAAAGTAGTGATGATTTTTTTTTTTATATTTTACTTGATTTACCGAAGTAAAAGCTAAAACTAATAGTAGTTGTACAAAAAAAGTATTATAGATATCTGAATTGATTGATTAGCACTGCTTTGCAAACAACCCGCATTACCGAAAGAACTGAAGTTTTCATAACAAGTTTACTTTTCATAACATATGGAAGGTTTTTTTAATATTATAAATAACTTTAAGCACTTAAAGGTATTAAAAATAATAATAAACGATGATGCCACTTTATAGAATTTTAATTAAAAATACAGATTGTTTTTGCATTAGGTAAGTCGTCTATGGAGGAAGGATATGTAGCCCCATATAAACTATATGAACTAAATACATTTGGACACGTTTGAAACCTTTAGGTAAATGTTTGCTAAATATGTGTTTTTGAACACGTTAATCTCAGAAACCAACTGTTTTCAAACATATTTAATACTAAGTAAATAACGTTTTAATTCAGGCTTCGTTTAATCTAAACAACTTACTACGTGCGATCTAAATTCCAAATGTAATTTGGGAGACGCTGAGCTACTTTCTATATCAAAATAAAATATTTTTTTAAGTTTATTGTATATGTGACCAAAATAAACTTTATTTGAGTCAAAAAGCGTTTATAACTTTTAATCTTCACTTATTGATGTGATCGAAAAATACATTAGGTATGTCCAGTTAAGTGTTATTTGACGGTCAGTTTTAGAAGGGTGTTACGAAAGTCGAATGGGGCGTGAAATCGTCGGATACCACGTCTCAACTGCACCAGCGCGGCGAGCAACGTTCTGCGGTTATATCACACGAGATATCGTAACTTTTGCTCGTTACTTTTGTTCGCTGTTCCTAATAGAAAGTGCACCAGCCTCTCGCCTTTCTTAAACTATTTATTGCTTTCAGATCTCGTTTCCGACTAGTAGTACTGTATATAAATTAAATATTTCTCTTGGCTTTCGATTTGAACTATTTTGTTTTACGCAAACGTATATAGTTGGATAGATGTAACGATTTCATCGATATAAAAACATAGGTTTGAAAGATTTTTTTTGAACCGAATAACAACGATACATTTGAAATAGCATCAGCTGTTACATAGTAAACTCGTCACTGACTAATCACATTTCAATGACAATTGGTGAGCAAGGTGACCAAATTAAAAGACGGGTGGAACTTATTTCAAACGAAATCAATCACCATGTTTCGCTATCTCGTTTTCTTGTAGACTTGTGTACATTTTCATGTGGACTTTTTTTATTTGGTTTAAACGTAACCCCATGATGAGCTTGACTTGAATTTTTGAAGTCAACTCTGAATATCAATTTAGCCAATTTTTTACCAATAATGCAAATACATTTTTATATCATATTAAAAACATGGTATCTATCTAAAATCATATATTTGTTTAAATTAATTAACACCTTGGCATACGCGACCAATCAAAGGCCCTTTTAAAACTTTCTAAGTGATTCACATTTTTTAATAAAAAGTTCTTTGAATCAAACTGGAACTGAATGTGTCTACTGAAATTACAATACCAGTGAAATCGTAACATCGTAGTTTTGAAAATAACTCTGTGTCACATGTCACACGTATCACCGACGCAGCCGCTGCTACCGAGGTTTGGATCGTCTTAGGAAAATTCGCTTGGATACGCTGATTTTTTAGTTGCTTTTTGTTCCTTGGCTTAATTCTGGAGTGTCAGTAAGGTTACATTACCTTCCATTTCAAAATCGTAGAACTCTTGTACTGTTTGCCATGCGTGCGGTCTATGTTAGGGTACGCAGTTTAAAAGATAATTTGTATAAGCAGTTCAAACATTTACCGTGTCACACAATTCTATTTGTGCGGCCCTATACGGCTTATGCTTTGCGACCTCTGCATCTATGTATGTATGTTCCTATAGCTGGTAATGTACTTATTTATTTTGCTTGATTTCATGGTCACTTTTTTAAAGATTTAAAATCATTCAAAATACAAAGTTATCATGCGAGTCCTCCAGTACGCCTCCTGTTACACTAAAAAGTAAAATTAGCTGTGAAATGTATTGATGTAGCGCCGATCGCTGTAAAATGGTTCCACACTTATTCACATACTGTCTTTGATATAGAAGCAGCTTACTGAATAAGCCGGTTACTTTCATCGTCTCTTGGTGTTTTTTGTGATTCGATAACTATTTTTACATATCGACCATTCTTTATTTTACGCAATACCAGAATCACATACACACTTTTTGCATTTACTGATAAAATTGTGTCACTTCTCATTAATATTCTTAAGTTGCCCAGCCTTTTAGTGCTCGTTATTAGGAATTTTCAATGTATTCAGTACCTTCCATATTTCCTCTTATATGTATATCCCTATTTGAGTCATATGCTTCATAGGTGTTACATGTAGAAGAATGATAGTTTAAAATTATATTTATAAACGAATAGACATGATAATAAGATTGCATAGAAAAATAAAATGCAACAGTACCAAAATACACACAATTTCCTTTTTTATAAAAAAAAATAACGTGTCCCATCGCAATAATTTTGTAATTTCAAAGTGCGTTAAGAAGAACACACTTCGTCACACGACTCTGATGAACTAATGAGTCTTTGTGATATACGGCTGTATCTAGACGTGCGTTCTCTCAACCTACTTCTTGAATGCCGCTGACTAGCACCGTGAAATCGACTTTATAATAAAGAAAATAAAGATTAAATCATCATTTATTCGCAAACGTTCTCAATACTACATTTAGGAACAGCCGTAGCTGCGACGATGCAAATTAAACCCTGCGTTGTTTATATGATGGGTGATATTCTACTATTTCTTACATTTGAACACAGTACATGCTTCGTTCAACCATGAACTCCTTTGAGGAGCGTCCCGTGTTGAGACCTCAATTTTTTAACTCTCTCACTTATTGGTCAATCGGCATGACATTTGTATGGTAATGTTATTTTGGTTCTATCAATTGGTCATTGCATTAATACTGTAGCCTCCATCGCACTATTGACGTGTTTATTACATCTCAAATTCAATATTTTGTACATCGTATTTTTTTTATAATCAAAATATTATTGGTTATTTTAACTATGCAACTCTGTGCATTGATTTTTATATATTCTCCTCTTTGTCTTATGTAGTGTGATAGAATATTTACTCACACACACGCAACCGTCGGTCTGTAAAAGTAAGAGTGTCAAGGCGGCTTAAACATAATTTATTGATTTTATGCTCGTAATGAGTTTGTATGCTCCAACTTTTATTATTGAAAAAATCTTATTAATTTTTATTTACATTATCATTAAACTCACCTACTGACCTACTGCCACAATAGATAGTTGATCAAAATGGCAACACTCATGCAATATCTTAGTTCTCAAGTTAGATAACAATCTCGTTTATTTTTATATTTCTTTTCAAAATATTTTGTTCATTTAATCGTTGTGTGTTTTGTTTGTTGTAGTCTTGTTATTCATAAACGCCTCAGGAATTAGAATTACTCAGAAATAAAATATTTTGAAAAATACATTTTTTATACCGCTACAGTTATTAAAATTTGTAAAAACTAATTCATTAAAATTTTCAAAGTTCATCCAAATTCAAAAGTATACGCTTTACTAAAATTCAAATTAATGTTTGTTCCAGATTTTTCCTCTAAACCTCTCCAAGTCTCAAAGTGTCACAAAAGTGTAAGTACAATTAAAAAATTCAAATAGAAACGAAAGTGTAGTCTTCGCCTTAATAAATTAGATTTAAAAATGGCGAAGTTCCAGAAGATGTTGTTACTACGACCATTACATTAAGAAAAATTTAAATAGAATATGTTAATTATAAATGAGAACCTCTATTAAAACAATTTTTTTTTGTGGCTCAGGATGGGTAAACAAGGTCACTGCCCGCCGGGCATTGTGTTGCTAAAGCCCACAGACCTAATGTGATGCAAGCTATCTTCAGACACGAGGTTAAAGTCTGAATTATAGTGAACAGCAGATGTCACAAAAAAAAAAAACGGGGCCTAAACACGTAATTGTTTCACGGCAGAAATAGGTAAAATATGGTAGTTAGTAGCTTCGCACAATGCACCTACCGTCAGCAGCGGGCTGTGAGCTCATTTGCTCAATAGTCCATGCTTTTGTTTGCAAAAAGGTATACCCAGATTCAGGCTCTAGTTTGTTAAGACCAGTTTTGGAGGCTATTACATAATGCGAATGAAGGAGCGATCATTATTTGAATCAATTCATTTAACAAAATTAAATATTAATTTAAAAAAAAAATCTCTAAATGATAAGGTTTTCCATTAGTTTCTTCAATAACATTTTAATTTTAAAGCGCTCTGTTAATTTGTGTTAAACATATAGCAGGCACTTACTGGTCAACACTGGTTCAATGATTGTGTAAACGCAATATGGAGATTTCTCAATCAGGTGCATCTCATTCAATCGTCATGCGTGAGAGTCGGATTTCCCAATTTCTATCAGAGAGGAGGGTTCTTATTGCGGCTGTTTCCCAATACAAAGTCCTCAAATGCAGGAAGCACACTGCAGCAGTGCACGTGCAGCATCTAACAGAATCTGGAGGGGCGCCGGCCGATGCACTTTCATGCCGATGACGTCACAGCGTACCTTTCGTCAGCGCCATGCCGCAGCCCGTAAGAGTTATTACGCAATGGACGCACGCTACTTAACTTTCCAATTTCGACAACGCGCTATTGTGCAGCGCTTTCAAATTTGACTATAGCGCCGTCGCTGGCGCTTTCATGCATTTCTCTCCTTCTGATCACGACTGAAAAACGCTCTGAATACGGAGTGCAAAGGCAACGATGCTGGAGATGCACTTTCACTATTGCGTTTACCTCTCATCTGAAAATTGGAACTGTTGTTTTTGTTACACCATAGACACATGATTTCACCGAAGATCTAGAATTGGCAGAGTTATTGTCTGATAAAAGATGCTCTGAATTAAAAAAAATCTTTTGATATTTTTTTATCGGCTAGAAGTGAATATGACATTTAGGACAAATCAGCAATGAAAGGAGCCAGTCTAGTTATACTGATGCGGGTTTCACAATAGTGGTTTCGCGGATAAATTTGAAAGTTATTCTTAGTTAAAAGCACGCGTGTCAGACGCCAGTGGGCGCTTTAGGGTTTTCACTTAATCGTTATGTGAGCTTTATCAGTACGATACTTCGTCGAAACATTGCTTCTTTGTACGTAAAGAGTACAGTTAAATTTAAATTATTTAATTTGTATCTGAAACTGGAATGAATACAATAGAAAACTGAACGTATTAAGGAACGTATTATTTTTACTGGTGGTAGGACCGCTTGTGAGTCCGCGCGGGTAGGTACCACCGCCCTGCCTATTTCTGCCGTAAAGCAGTAATGCGTTTCGGTTTGAAGGGTGGGACAGCCGTTGTAACTATACTGAGATCTTAGAACTTATATCTCAAGGTGGGTGGCGCATTTACGTTGTAGATGTCCATGGGTTCCAGTAACCACTTAACACTAGGTGGACTGTGAGCTCGTCTAACCATCTAAGCAATAAAAAAAAAAGTTACCAAAGATTCAAAAATCTTTATCTTCGATATCAAGGCAACATGGTTGGTTTTTGTGTTGCATAATATGTATATTAGACCATATCATTAACAACTAGTATTATTGGATATTTTCGTTTTTCTCTGGAGAACATACATCTCTACTGCTAGGCTATCTGTTATAAGAACAGTGTTTGTGTCGGTAGAAGAGTCATCATACACGATAAAAACATTTGGTTGAGTATCAAGGTGCAAGTGACACGTGTTCTTATTCTAACCCACATTTAAAATCTGATTTGACTAAGAAACGCTGTTGGTAATTAAAATACATATTCCAAACTGTCTTAACTTAGAAACATTTCATAAACATCAATTATTATCGAAATATTTTGATTGAAGAAAGCGTTTAGACGAACTTCATTGATGATGAACTTAGTTGATTGTCACGTCACTATCGTTAAAGTTCTGTGTTCTTCGTTATCAAGTTAATTCTCTCGCAGATACTGATATAATTATCTGCATTGTTGTTTAATGTCTCTGTAAAACTAAACAAAGCTATTAAGATCTTAATAGCAATGATTAAAGGAAAATAATTGTAGCAAAAGTAAATACCTGATGAAGTTTCTAGTGATTCATTGACAGAAATTACTTACATGATTCATTTATTTACAATTGAGTGGACGCATCTGTAAAAAGAAGTGGATTTTGTATTTACTCTACTATAAAACATTCAAATGAACATCTTTTTTATACATTCAATGATTGATTCAATTGAATCAATTGATTTTTTCTCCTACCTAATCGTTGGTAGCCTAAGGGGCTATCCCAACTACATGCAGACTGGTAGGTGAGCTCACGGGGCTTAATCTGGGAGCACTTACTAACGCTAGTCATAGCAAAAGAAGTTATTTTAAATCTACCACTAGATCAGAATCGAACCACTGCGAAGCTCCGGTGAGAAACTCATTGGAAGAAAAAATTATAAGTGAAATAATATGACCCACAGGAGTTTCAATATCGGATGCAAGCTCTGCGTTGCGGATAACATCTTATATCATAAACACATCTACATCTTTCTTGAACTAATATTGTGAAGAAAGATATTATGTTTTTATACATATATGTGGGATTCTGATTGTTCTTATTTTCTCTTTATGTCACTTTTATAATGTTGATAGATGTCACTGTGAATTAATATTAGATGATGGGTGAGTTGTCAAAAGAAGAAGTAAAGGATCGTACGACGTTAAGATTGTTTTAATTATTTTGTGTGAATTTCTGCGGTAATCTGCACCCTACCATTCATAAATCCCACAACTTTTATGGGGGCTCGTCCGGGATATGAAGAAAACATGGTGTACGGTGTAAAAGTGTGAATATTAGATGCCGCATAATCGCCAAGCAAGCNCGTTCAAGGCTATAAGCTACATCCGAAGTATTTAGGACCATATCAAATTATACAGAAAAAAAGGAATGACAGATACACTGTGAAGAAGATAGGAGACGGTGAAGGACCTATTAACACCACTAGCTCCGCTGATATGATGAAACCATGGTCTAATGGTGATGACGAACAAGAATCGCATTCATCCGGGCCAGATGAATAATGCAGGATAGCCGTGTGGGATTCTGATTGTTCTTATTTTCTTTTTATGTCACTTTTATAATGTTGATAGATGTCACTGTGAATTAATATTAGATGATGGGTGAGTTGTCAAAAGAAGAAGTAAAGGATCGTACGACGTTAAGATTGTTTTAATTATTTTGTGTGAATTTCTGCGGTAATCTGCACCCTACCATTCATAAATCCCACATATATGTTTGTTTCAATTAGCATTAACATACATCTTAGTATTAGGGGTTAAAGCATGAAATTGCCGATTTGCACTGAAAAATTGAAATTCGTTTTTTTTTCATTTAACATATTTATTTAATCAAAGTATCTACCATTAAAATCTATAACATTGCTGCCATCCGTCCAAGGTCAATCCATCGTGCCAAGGTCATTTATGCCTTTGCGATAGAACTCTGGCGATCTAGATTCTAAAAACTTTGTGAAAGCATTTTGTACTGCCTCCTGGGAAGAAAACTTTTTATCACGTAGAAAATTGTCCAAATCACGAAAAAATTGTAGTCCATTGGAGCTAGGTCTGGCGAATACTGAAGTTGACGAATGGTTTCTAATTCCAGTTCCTGTAGAGTTAAAACGGTTTCTCGTGCTGTATGAAGTCCTGCGTTATCATGGAGCAATAATGGGGAAGATCGATTCATGAGTCAGGGCTGTTTCACTGCAAAGTTTTGCTATCATTGCTAGGAGTTTGGCACAGTAGACATCTGCCGTTATTGATTGACCAGATCGGAGAAAGCTATAGTGAATAACACCATGCTGAGACCACCAAATAGTTACCATTACCTTTTTATTGGTAAGCTTTGCACTAGACACTATTGCGGCGCTTGACCTGGGGTCAGCCATTGCATTTTTCGCTTACGGTTATCGTAAAGAATCGACTTTTCATAACATGTCACAATCCGATCCAATATTCCTTCATTTCTGTATCGATTCAACAAGCCAACACAAGTTTCAACACGCGTTTCTTTCTGCAGATCAGTAAAATCATGAGCCACCCATTTTTTATAAAACAATTTTATTGATTTGACGCAAATGAGTCAATATTGTTGGTAAGGTAACGTTAAACTATGCCTCTAATTCCTGGGTAGTTTGGCTCGGACTCGGCTTCCACCATCTCTTTCAATTCATTGTTATTCACATGTGTGGGCGGTCTTCCACGTGGTTCGTTCTTCAAATCAAAATTTTCATCACGACAGCGTTTAAACCAAAATCGCACGGTGCGTTCATTAGCTTCCCCTCTCCAAACGCAACATTGATATTGCGAGCTGTTTCTGCAGCGTTAGTTCCTCGTCGGAACTCGTATTCAAAAATGACTCGTATCCCATCTTTCTTGTCTTAGCTAAATAAATAAAAAAACAACTGAAAGTCGATAAACGATTGTTGCACATTTTTTAAAAGGAGTACCTTATAGGTACCGTTTGAAAGAAGTTTCACTCAAAAATCTCAAACCATGAAGGCTTTATATTAATTCGAAGTACCTATTACGATAATACGGCAATTTCATATTTTAACCCCTATTATCATCAT